TATATTGACACTGTTTTAACTTTTCTTGATCACCACCTGTGTATGTATGTCATTTCTGATTTTGACAAGAGGGGAATGTGTGGAAAAGCCTGATCAGAAATCAAACTGGGGAGAGGGGAAAGAGGATCGAGTGCCTTGAACTCATTAAGTCGTATGTTGATTGGTCTGTTCTTCTTCTAAGTTTGGCATGGCTAGAGAAATTTACTTCACTGATATAATTATTGGAGGAGCTAACCATCCCTCAGAAGCTCGTACGCCTAATCAAGATGACCATGGACAGCTCGAGATGTAGAATACGCGTCGGTTCTGACGACTCCGAAGAGTTTAAAGTGAGCAGTGGGGTTAGGCAAGGGGATGCCCTCGCCTGTCTATTGTTCAACTTGGCAGAGGAGAAAGCTGTAAGAGACTCCGGTATTCAGACCAACGATATAATCTTCAATCGCCTGACACAGCTTCTTGGTTTTGCTGATGATATTGACATAATAGGTAGGTCTGAACAGGCTCTCAGAGAAGCGTTTATAGGCCTTGAAGCAGCTGCAAGACCACTTGGTCTAGAAGTCAACGAGAGGAAAACTAAGTATATGAGAGTTGGTGGTGAGGTGGATCTGAACTCTCCATTTGAGGTAGGTTCTTTTAAGTTTGAGAGAGTGAAGAGTTTTATATACCTTGGGTCTGAAATTAATAGCAAAAATGACATGGCTCAAGAAATACAAAGAAGGATCACGGCTGCCAATAGATGTGTCTATGGACTTGGCCGACACTTAAGAAGTAGGTACCTCTCAAAGAAGACCAAGCTGATCATATACAAGACTCTTGTTCGGCCTGTTTTGACATATGGCTCAGAGGCTTGGACGATGACCAAACACGATGAGATGAAGCTGAGTGTGTTTGAGCGAGGAGTCCTCAGAAGGATTTATGGTCCAGTAAAGGAGGGTGATGTCTGGAGGAAAAGAAAAAATAGGGAGCTCAGTTCTCTCTATGCAGACATCGACGTAGTCACCTATATTAAACTGGCCAGACTAAGGTGGGCAGGGCATGTGGCCAGAATGAGCACCGTTGAGATACCCAAGAAAATAATGATGGAGGAGCTGCACCTCGCAAGACGGGTAGGAAGGCCGAGGACGAGGTGGTTGGACAACGTGGCCTATGATGCGAGAACCCTGCTTGGTGTACGGAACTGGAGAGCTGCAGCAGAAGACAGAGCCAACTGGCGGAGGCTCTTGGAGGAGGCCCAGTCTCGGTAACGGGATGTCGTGCCACACATGAATGAATGAATGAATGATATAATTATTAGTGATAATAATTATACACTAATATAATTATTATTAATTAATATAATATTCTAATCGAGCAGGGGATTCCGAAAAAAAAACTAGTAAATCTAGTCAGGATGTGCTTGACGGAGACACTCAATAAAGTTAGAATCGGTAATAATCTTTCCGAAAAATTTGAGGTTCGTTCGGGTTTAAAACAGGGGGATTCCGTTTCGCGTGTCCTGTTCAATTTCTGTACTGTCCGTGGTGGGCTATAATGATGATCTGGTACTGTTAAGCGAAGACGTTGAAACTATAAAACTAAATACGACAACGTTAATGAAAACCGGTAAAGAACTAGGACTCGAAATAAACGTGGATAAAACAAAATATATGGTTAGCTGCAAAAATGGCGATACTACTGGTGATATCGATATAGATGGTAATATGTTTGAACAGGTAGATAAATTTAGGTATCTAGGTTCTACGATAACTAGAAAAAACGAAATTGAAGAACAGATTAAGGTTTGGCTGAAGGCGAGAAATGCTCGTTATTTTTCTGTGACAAAACTACTTAGTTCGCGCCTCTTGTCCCGGAACTTAAAAATTAGAATCTATAAAACAATTATCTTGCCTACAGTTCTTTATGGATGTGAAACTTGGCCGCTTACATTAAGAGATGAGCAGCGTCTTAAGGTTTTTGAAAATAAAGTATTGCGTAGAATATTCGGACCGAAGAAGGATGAGTTAACCGGAGAGTTCAGACGGTTACACAAGGCCGAATTGCATGAACTGCATCCGGGTAATATAATTGAGGTAATTTCATCGCAGCGAATCAAATGGGCTTGTAAAGTTGTTGGGCTTAGTAACGAGAGAATTCCTAAAAGGTTAATATTTGCTGTGCCAAATGGTAAGCGTCCAAGGGGTAGACCGAAGCGAAGGTGTGAAGATTGCATTAAAGCCGATCTGAAGGGACTGGGTTTGGACGGCGAACGGTGGAGGGGTCGCTAAGCCTTTTATTATTATTAATATAATTATTAATAATATAATTCTGCTAATGTACCAAAAAAATCATATTTAATGTACAAAAATATCTAAAAACGATGTGTTTTATGCAAAAGTAAAAAAAACAACATTAAATACTACCTCGGATAAAATACTTACCAGCCTTACTGTTCCTATTATCTTGTAATTTCACCAACGTGATCTTTGAATCTTATTAACGTTATTCGGTTTAACGAAATATTACGTAAGATATGAAATCAAAATGTCTAAAACCTAAATCTACTTCCAACCTCATTTAAATAACAGCTGTAAACTATGCTCCATAAGTAGAAAGAAATTAACTAATTAATAAATCAATAACTTCATAAGGCAAGTGTGCTGAGATCTTTTTAGCCTTATTTATTAGATCATTTTAGTATAAGTCATGGGCGGATCTACGGGGGGGAGGGGGAAGGAGGCTTTCGGGCTGAAGCCCCCCCCCAAAATGCTAAAATATAACCATGTTTTATCGAAAAAAATATTAAAAAAGTATCTCTTAAAGTACTATTGTTCGTGTAATTACATTTAAAAGGACTTTAGGAATCACTTAAACACCATTTCATACAGGTAGTTAGCTTCTTTCATTTTTTCCAAAGTAAATATCGTTATTTTTATGAAAAAAAGAACTTTCGGGCTGAAGCCCCTCCCCCCCAAAATTAAATCCTGGATCCGCTAGTGATAGCAAGTATACAAGGGTTAGATGAATAATTTTTATAATAAAGACAATTTCACAGTTTGGGTTGAAACGTTGGCAAAAATTTAAAAAATTAAAAAAGACTGCGTCCTGAACATTTATCAACCATGATATGTAGAAAAGGGCTTAAGTCGACTAACTTCCTTCAATAATTCAAATAATTAACTATCTGTCATTATTAGAAGTTACGGAAAAATGCTAAATATAACTTTTGAAAGAATTTGATTATTGAATAAAGAAGAAAAAAATAGAAATGCTTATCCAGGTCGAAAATAAATATTCGGAAATAATAGTCAGAAGATATACATATAATATATTGTTGGAAAGCGGAGAATTGAAAAAAAAAAAACTATATATAATATAGAAGGTAACGGAGAGTGACGAAAAAATATAAATAATAATTTTGAAAACTAACATTATTAAAAAGAAATCACATGTTTCAAAGAAAATTAAATGAAATTTTCTTACTAAATGTAAACTTTTAAATTGTTTATAAGTTTTAAAAAGTGTTTAAAACCCTCGGATTCAAGGCAATGACATTGTTCAAGGTACTATTTCATTGTGCTTGTGTGGAACAAGAAGTGAAATATAAAAATATTTCATGGATACATTTATAACCTTAAATATATTTACTGTAGTTTAACAACTCTAGATCTGATATTAGGTATCTATCGTCCGTTTATTCCGAAAAATTATAATGTAACCTTTTAGAAAATGCAATTTGAGAATAATTTGATAAATTTTCCCTTTGCGATATTCCAACATAATCCACTTACAATCAGTGTGGCAACCATTGGCCATGACAGACAATGCAAAGCTTTTAATTCCGTTTTAGTAAACTTTGCAATGGAAAATAACAGTTTAATAACTAATAGTCGTACGATCCATATTCAACGGATCGTACAATCCATAATCAACCGATGATATAATAAATAAGGTTTTGTTATTTTTATTGTATTTATGATTGGTCGGCTGTAATTTTTTAGCTTTAGATCAAAATTAAAAATGCAATTCAAAAATTTTATAATAGCACAACATGGCCAGAAAATAATTTCTATTCAAAGTTGAGAGGTAAGTGAAAGTTGTGTGTTGCGCGTACCAGATTTTCGAAAGCGTTATTTCAACTGAATGAATGTTTTTTATTTTTCTTAGGGAATTACTAATGATGAAAAAAAAAAATATTTAGACCTAATATGAAAATAGGCCTAAAATTATTAGAAATAGACTTTTATTTATCTTTTTCTTATACCACAAGCAAAGTAATGTTACTTTTGATGTATAATTGTTAGTAAATAATAAACCATCTTGTATAATATGCAGCGTTTTTGTTTTTGTACTCTGTTACTAAGGGTTTTGGCCGATATAGGAATTAGGGAAATGTAGACAATTTATTTTATAAATTAAATTTTAATTGAGATTAAGGTTTAAAGAGATTAAGGTTAGACTGAAGGCGGGGAATGCTTGTTATTTTTCTGTGACAAAACTACTTAGTTCGCGCCTCTTGTCCCGAAACTTAAAAATTAGAATCTATAAAACAATTATCTTGCCTACAGTTCTTTATGGATGCGAAACTTGGCCGCTTACATTAAGGGATGAGCAGCGTCTTAAGGTTTTTGAAAATAAAGTATTGCGTAGAATATTCGGACCGAAGAAGGATGAGTTAATCGGAGAGTTCAGACGGTTACACAACGCCGAATTGCTTGAGATGTATCCGGGTAATATAATTGGGGTAATTTCATCGCGGCGAATCAAATGGGCTTGTAAAGTTGTTAGGCTTAGTAACGAGAGAATTCCTAAAAGGTTAATATTTGCTGTGCCGAATGGTAAGCGTCCGAGGGGAAGACCGAAGCGAAGGTGGGAAGATTGCATTAAAGCCGATCTGAAGGGACTGGGTTTGGACGGCGAACGGTGGAGGGAGGTGTGTAACAAGCGATTGGTGGTGTCGGCATCGAACCTTCGGGTTCGCTAAGCCTTATTATTATTATTATTATTAAATTTTAATTGAGGTTTGTAACTATTTTATCTTTCAGTGGTGTCAAACTTTGATGCAGCTTATTAGAAGAAAAATTGTTTCCTATCTTGATAACATTTATATTATATATAATATGAAAGTTTTTTTTTTTATCAATTCGGAAAGATGTTTTATATAAGTTAAAGGTTTGAAACTCGGAAATTATTATTATTAGCATCGAAAATAATATACCAAAAGAGCAATTATATGAATCAGTTAAGGTAGCTTATCCCCCATCGATCGTTAAGATAAGACAGTAACAATTTAGGAAGAATAGTTTTAATCTTCTCCATCGACCGACTCAAAGGAGCTTATATATTCTTCTTCCAATACTGATTCAATGTCTTCCCTAAGATCCTCCAGTTCTTCGTCCTCGCATCTTAGATCATCGATTAAAGTCTTAAGATGTCTGTCCATTATTTGCTTCAGTTCGAAGTATTTCAGTTCTAAAACATTCAAGTTATCAGCTAGTTCTTGGACAAACTCTGCGTTTTTTTCTTCTTGTTCTCTCAATTCTCTACCTCTTTCTTCGATATCGTAAGCGGGCCCCTCGTCTTGTGTTTCATCCTCTGAACTTTCGCCCGTTGGTCTCGCCATAGGTCTTTTCTGATGGTGCTTGTATTCTTCTTCTCCTTCTCCTTCTTCTCCTCCTTCTTCTTCTTCTTCTTCTTCCTCTTCTTCATCCATGTCTTCATTCTTGACTATCCTCTGCAACATTTGCGACATTTTTCCAACCCTGCCTGCTGTAGGTTTTTGGTCAGTCCAAGTATTTCTCTCTATTTCCGATTTTTTCTCAATAAAACTTTGACTCGTGTCTGGTATACAAATTGTATCTTCCGAAACTTCTTCTTCTTTTTCCTCACCAATTTTTTTTCCGACGATGAATTCTATTAATTCCTCAGTCAATGGTATGTCTTTTTCAATCTAGAATAGTTCAATAGTAAAATTAAAATTAAACAATGTTTCTATTAAGACTTTTATAATATTTCATCAAGGATTTGAGACTTACCGTGGCAATTTTTTTCGCAGTTATCTCATACTCTAAACGACCGTTGCTGTATGGGATGGTGTGAGGGCGCCTGGAAATCATTTGTACAGATCTGATAAGGGGATGACCAGAATCTTTAGTGGAATAAGTTGTTTCAAGTACCTGAAGTTTAAAAAAAAAAATAAATAAATAAATAAATAAATAAACATTCAACAATAATTAGAATATCCTCCAAAGGTACAAACATATTTTTACATACTAATATTAGGGGGATCGGAAAGTAATGTCGCTTTCTTACGTTTTAACCAGATTTTATATTTAATCAATGACGTAATCATCCTCATAATCCATAACCTTTTGACTTGCTGTGTGCACATTTTTAACGTCGGATCGATAAAAAATCAATTGATTCTTGAACAAAATATATAGATATGCCATTTTGGATATCGTCCAAATTCACATATCTATTTTCCGAAATTCTTCTTAAAGTCCCAAGCAAACACCTTTTAGACTTATTTAATAGATCAATAACCACGAATACATTACAGTGAAACACAAAAAGGATTTTTTAATTTAAAAAATCATATAAAAAATTAAGTGTGTGCTTTAGACCACACGATAAAAGTGAAAACGTCAACAAGGCGAGATTAATATGAAGTATGTAATGAGTATTATAAATGAGTATTTACGAGGTTTTAGTACCTAATCAAATAGACAGAGTTTGTAAACCTACAGATTGAAAACGCCCCAATTCCGAGAATTTTCGTAAATACAATATTTCTAGGTTATGATGAGATGAAACTATTTACGATGTTTTAGGCGGATCTTAATAATTTGATTAAAAGAAGGGGTCTATTCCACGGACTAAATAGTTGCTACCAAAAACATTGACATTTGTAAATGCTGAAGGTGAGTTTCCAAGTTGGTAATTTTGATCTTTCCGAATCATATCGATCAGGAAAACAACAAGGACTGTCAGTCTTACCAACCTTGGTTGACAATACAGAAACATTAACAGCGGATTGGAAAACCACCAATGTCTGTTATTGCATCAACGCACAATATGTAAGCGTTTTTTGATCTCTTGATAATCGGAAATGAAAAATAGGTCCTCTATGATATCCCTAAACGCACAAGGCAGTGGCTCTATCCAAATGAATCGCCACGAAGCCTAGCAAATAAATCGCCATGAACCAAAGCCAGGTTTACACCCTAACAATGACGCTTTGTATGTTTTGGTGTAGTATACGCGTTATTAATTACGTTATTAATTTTGAAGTGCCCAAACCTGGAGAAACTGTGAATGCGGATCTTTATCGTGAACTATTGGATCGTGTAAATCAATCTTCAATCGAAATGAGGCCTAGGATTGTCAAAAGAAGAGGCACCTCTCAAAAGACGAATCCTGGAAAAAATTCATGAACTGGGGTAGGAGGTACTCGCCTGATATACCATCGGATTTCCATTTATTCCGATCTCATTATTTTTCTCACTCATATGCCTGCACCAGGGCGTGTTGATCTATTATCCATATGTTGGCCTAACCTAACTTAGCATAAACTTTCTTAAAAGGAAGATGGCGAACTGGGCATTTACGTCTACTTTCGACACACTCGCGTTGTTTAACAATTATATCTATAATGTGCCGTATGTGATCTTGAACTAATCATGAAAAAGCGATTAATTACAAATACTATAATTATTAAATATTTAATATTAAAAAAGGTCATAAAAATGGAGGTGATCATTTATTTAAACTAGGGAGCTGTATTTATACTACGTTTAATCACTTACCAGGCTTACTGTCGCTGTTTGGCGATTAAAACTTTATCTATAAATCTTATTTTTGTTATAAAATCGTTTTTTTTTTTTAAATAAAACGTTTAAAAAGAACTTGGTTAACTTAATGCTACTTTCAACACCATTAAAATGAACAGCTGTTAGTAACACCATGTTTATTAAATAGAAACTGATAAAAAAATATTGAGCAATTTTTGCATACTTTTTTATTAATATTTATTTATTAATTTTAAAGTTTTGGTGCACAAGACTAGGGGTATCCAGAACAAGTTAACATGGAAAGAAAAGGTACATTTTTAAGGTGTTATTAATTTTTTGAGAAAACCTGATTTTTGTGGAATTTGTATAAGAAGGACTATTTTTATAAATTTCGATCGATGAATCAAAACAAAAAAATTACTACATTTTTCTAATTCTACTTTGATGCAACACACAGTGGGTCAAAAAAGTATTGGCACACTCCAGTTTTTATGCAAATCTCAATAGAAATAACTTTCTGTCCCCTCCCCTCTGCACTGGTAGTCGCCATGTGCTGAAGGATTTGTTCTTCTGTCGTCAGTTTTAGGGTTCCTGTTCCATCGAATTTCCTATAGATCGGAGAAACCCATGTCTTCTCACATTCCGTTCCAATGACATCAGCTGGTGCCTTGGTTACCATAGGAGCCACCTCCTCTGATATCTTAGATCCTATAATACTGTACAGTTCTTCAGTGAAAAGGGACTAACAATTTCTCTCACCCAGCTGCGAACACTTTGACACTTGGCTTCCATTCCTGTGTCGATATCTTTAAGATCTCCAATGTTCTTGGTAATATAGTTTTGTTGCTCCTTACACCGCTGAAGGGATTGCAGTTTATAAGAGTTAAAATGAAAGAAAACCAGAAATTTCATAGTCAGAAATACATACTAGATCTTATAAATATAAGTAATATAAGAATATATTACGCTAGGATCGTGAATATATTCTTTAATAATCAAGAAATTTCGACTCTGCATTACTATATACTTCATATAGTGAGTGAACGTAAAACAAATTGGAAACAGTGTTTATAAACAAAAATGTAAATATTACTTTGTTTAAAACCACTAATCTCCGAAAGTTTGTATATATTTACATACTGACCTGTTTAAAACGTACAGAAATGTCAAACAAATGATATCAATTATGTTTTTACTTTAAATTTTTAATATATATATATATAGCAAAAGAAAACGAAAATCTTTTGCTCTATGTAAGCCATAAGAGTGAGAGAAAGCTGCGCGAGCTTCCTTCCCCTACATTCAAACTTAACTTAGATATACCGGCAGATGAAATTCAAAATCCAGGTTTTTTTTTCGCCCAATAGTGAATTTTTGCAGATATCCGGGAAACAACTGTTCATACAAAGATTATCTAATGCACTTTGTACTGAATTTTCTCAATAAATTTATTTGAGGCCTGATCGGATTGCTTTTTTTTTTTTTTTTTTAAACAAGTTTTTATTATTTTCATACTCGAGAAATCATAATTTTTGGATCCGATTTTATTAAATGTCATGGTAACTGTTAAAATGAAGATAAATATTATAAACCTACCTGAAGTAATAGCAGTCAATATTCTGTTTATAAAAAAAATGTTTCTAAAGATCGTTTATCTAGAACCAAGAATCTAAAGGGTTTTATTAAGCCTCAATTGAAGCTGACAGAATACACTACAAAACAGTTATAATTATCTTTTTAGAAATATCTCTCACTTCCTTAAATTCTCGAAATGGTGATTTATTTCAGCTATTTAATGTAAAGAACTCAATCCTGGTTCAAATTGAATTATATTCAAAGGAATAGTTGTTTATATTATATACTCTCCTCCTCCAAACTGAGGCATACCTTTTTTGCATATTAGGAGAGTATGTAGTTTCATGTATGTAACAGCATATCTCAGTGAGTAGGGCACTGTCTTCCAAAGCTTGGGATCTTCTGGAGTCCTGATTTTCCCTCCATAGTTGGAGGGAAAAGCCTGCCCCGGAGTTCACTCACTCGATTGTAAATAATATATATAGGTATGTATGTGTTCTTTGTTTTTTTTAATTTACTAAGTAATTTTATTTTATTTATTGTATATACTTTTTGATTATTATTTAGTTATTTCGCTTCGGTTATATATCGGCTTATATTTTTTTTTTTACCTATTGTGCGAATGTGATCTTAAATCCCTATAACCAATGTCAAAGTGACAGAATATTATATTATTCCATAAATAAAAAAAAATATGTGGGAAAGCCTGGCGGTTGAGGATGATCTCTGTCAAATCCACCTCCTTACACAAGGTTTGCCAAGAAACAGTACTTCCTTATATAGTACTTTATTAAGACCCTCTGTGGTTTGTAGTGATACAGATTTTTTTAAAAAACAGTTTCATAATGTCTTGAAACAAATCATCTTCAAATAGCCACACACTTTGAGTTACCAGACTAGTGCAAATTAAATGCTGAAGATAGACATTATAACGGAGTACAACTAACTTTTTTTTTCAAATTAGTTTCAAAATTTCGACTCGGCTCTTAGGCAATATTGCAATAGTGTATATTTCATGTAATGTTCTGAATTACAATTAATAATTTTATGATTGCTAACCACTCATATACAAATATTTTTGTATATTTTAACTATTCACTATCTCAAATGTATATGAACATTTTTTTTTTCTCTCTGCACGCAGCCCTGAAGCCTTCATCTTGCCTTTGGATTACTCCAAACTGGTCGAACATTGCAGCAGGATCAAGCTACAAACCGATTGCAATAACAACTTGGTATGGATTTGCAAACCAGTTGGTCAGAGTCAAGGAAGAGGAATATCATTGTTCAGGGTATAGTCTGTTTTCTTAAACTATATTCAAATTTTGACTTCTTTATACTAAAAATAAAGGGAAGACAATTTTATATCTACTACTACTTTAAATATAATGGTTATTTTTATTTTTTTCAGAATGTAAGTGAACTGACTTATGACACAAACTCTGTGGTACAAAGATATGTAAATAATCCTCTCTTGATTGGTGGCTACAAGTTTGATCTTCGCATTTATGTGTGTGTTCCATGCTTTCACCCTCTTACTGTTTACGTCTACCGTGAGGGTCTCGCCAGGTTCAGTACTAACAAGTTTTCAATGAAGGATATTTCCAACAAATATGCTCACCTTACTAACTGTGCTATCAACAAACAGGGTCCAGGTTATATGGAAATGAAGGATAAAGTAGGTGCTGGTGAGTAATTATTCAATTTTAACAAAATCTATAGTTTATCATCTTATGGTTGATTTATGAGATGATCACTACACACATAACTCATAGAGACCATTTTTCTATTTACCAAGTTATTATTAAATTATTCTTTACACATTTCTTTATTATATAGAACATATTTTTTGACATTCAGTTATTATGAATCGTTTTTTCTTCATCCATATATGATATATACAGTAAAAAAAAGTATTATGATAGCAAATGCCTGGAATGTAACAGCAAGTTTTTCGTTTATAGTTGAATATCCAGAAATGGTACCTGATTACATCGATTTTACACATTTTTATAATTTTCTCAAAAAAAGCTCCAACAATGTTAATAAAACTCATTATATAGATCCCTTTTCTTTCCTTTCAAATAGATCGCAGTATGTAGTCCTCTAAGGTCAACTTCCCTCTAAGACACTTCCCCTCTCCTGCGGTGTTCCTCAGGGTTCCTCCCTATCTCCTACTCTGTTTGCTATTTACATTAATGACCTTCCTCTCCTCACCCATCACTCCCAATACCATATCTATACAGATGATTTCCAAATATACCTGTTGTTTCCTCCTTCCTTCTGGCCTATTAGCAGCCACCAAAAAACTTCAAGAGGACTTAAATAGAATCTGTGACTCGGCGGATGCGAACAAGTTGAAGTTGAATGCCGAGAAGACCAAGGCAATCTTGATAGGCTCCAGTCCCCTCCTTAAAACTCTTCCTAACATACCAACCCTGCTCCTACAGGATGATCCCATAAAATTCTATCCCAGTAACCTTTGATCAAATCCTTTCCTAGAAAAACCATGTATCTGATATTTCCTGCCATACCTTTTCCATTTTATTAAATTACCTCCACCAACTATTTCCATTTGAAACCCGTAAACTCCTTATTACTTCCTTAATATTTCCTCACTTTGACTATTGCTGAATGGTATATGGGGGCGTTTTCGGGGATCTCGAGGCGGAACTAAAACATTTAATAAATTGCCTTGTACGATTCATCTTTAGCATCCCAAGAGATACTTCTATTTCATGTTATTATGAAGAGCTGAAATGGCTTTATCCTTCCTACCGAGGTAAGTATTTCCTAGCATCCTTCCTCTTACAAGTCATCCAATCCCGCTGTCCTCCATACATCTCCGAGCTCCTTCAATTCAAATCTCTGTCCACTCCCACAAAACTGTTCTCAGTCTTCAGATTTGTATACAAGATCCCATCGAACCGCTACTTTCGACAGATCTTTCATTATTAGATCCACATTCCTATGGAATTCTATCCCATCCTACATCCATCTCTCCAATACTCTCCCCACCTTTAAATCACGCCTGTTCAATCACCTCTCATCCGTTCAATTCTCATAAAATTGTAAATAGATTTTGTAAATATATATATATAAATAATTAGTTTGTTTTAAATACTTTTATTTCATTTTTTTTAATTGAAGATTGAAGGTAAATAATATTCTTTTCTTTTATTAATTCATTATATAAATCTGTTTATTTTGTAATTATTCTCTGAGGCTCCAAAGCCCATATTTCTATCTCTGTACATTATTCTAAAGGGACCCAGAATAAATAAAGTATTATTATTATTATTATATAGATGTAAAAATAAATATTAATGTCAGCTTTTCCTCATTGAAATAGTTTTTAGGAACTTAATTGCTGGGTTTTCAAAATATCTTCCTCAAAATACCTTTAATTTGTTGTTTTTTTTAACAATAAAAATTCTTGTTATTGTTAGTAATAATAAAGTGGAATTCTATGAAAGAATTTGATAATTAACTTAATTAGAAAAATATTTTCACAGTTTTAGAACAAATTTCCAGAAATAAAAGTTGTGATGTATGTAGATGTATAATATACAGTTGGAAGGGTTAAGATTTTAGAAAAATGAATATCTAACATGTAAGGGAATAGAATGTAACTGGGATGAAAAGCTAATGACTTTTAAATATTTTAGTTAATAATGTATATATTTTTATTATTGAATAAGAAATAAACTTTTCCATAGAAATTAAATGGCATTTTCATAGAATATTTTTAAATTATTTATTTATTAATTGTGGGTAAATGGTTGACTGCCGTGAATATTTAAATTTATTATAAATTTATTTATAATTTATAAAGTATTTATTTATTATAAATTTAGTTTATATTAAACTATTTTATTGCCTCTTTCTATCAACTTTCGTTTAATTATCCATAATATTTATGAGTAATATATCTCTCGTCCTTATTTTCGCTTCCGGTACTTTAGTTCAAACTTCGTCAGATAACCGTTGGAGATGATGCCACTATACATCTCTTCTCTCCACCCTCTCCCTGGCTAACATGCTCATTGCTCCGATTTACACCTTTGGAGTCAGGTTTCTTTTTCTTTTTCTCTTTCTTATTTCAGCCTTCTCAGTTTCTTTCCTCCTTCCTTTCATTTCTTTTCCCTGTTTTAACTCTTTATTATATTATACATTGTCTGTACATCTTGATAGACTTTACAATATCTCAATTTTCTATCTAACTACTCTATTCGCAATATTTTAATTTTACTATTTATTTCCATTTCTTATATAACTTCATATTTTTCTGTTTTACATTTTATTCTAAAATTCCCATTTTGATTATGTTTACTTCATCATTCCACACTTTGTACCGGTTATTATCATTTATCTCTTAGTTCTTACTATTGTCATTATTCTAACAACTGCATTTTACTTTATTTTTTTTTTACCTGCACTACTTATGTTTCTCACACCTTGTTATCTGGTTCTTTTCTTAGCCCTGATGAAGGCCTGAACTTCAGGTCGAAACGTTGGCAAATGTCAAAATAAATATTATCATTTATTTTTGCCTTCTTATTTGACTGATCACCCCAACTATTCTTCTCTTCATTATTTATTTATTAAATTTAATAATTGAAAACATGACCATCTGTTATTATTATATCTATTACTATTATAACATATGTTATTATTTTATGATATAAAGATTTAGAGCAGAAAAATAATAAAAAATATAATTAAAATGGTGGCATATTAAAAATTATAAATCTAATGAAAAAATGTATTTCTTTTTAAATTAATACATAATGTTGTTATTACCTAAATAAATGAAAAAAAATTATGAGAGCAATTCAAGTCTTGAAGTAACCATATATTATTCTTTATAGTTATTTGTTATTATAATATAAATATTAATTTCACCTACAGGCTGTAAATGGACCCTAAGACAACTGAGACATTACTTGAATCAAAATGGAATTGATGATTGGCTAGTGTGGCAACGCATAGCATCCCTCATTGTTCTGACTATAGCCAGTCAAATTGTGGGAATACCAACATCAAAAAACTGTTTTGAATTCTATGGTTTTGATATTCTGATAGACCAGGATTTGAAACCATGGCTTATTGAGGTAGTAATCCATTCTATATAAGTTTATGCTGTAAAGTTCAATGTACATTATGAATATTTACAAAAAAAATTATGCACATATATTTATAGTAAAGTATTAATTCTTATCAGATTAGAATGTATGAAGATATTATTGCTCAATAAAAAATTAAGGATATTTTGAGCATACATTTTTTGGTTAAAAGAATACATGAATTTTTGGGGCTAACCTTTTCTTCAGCTGGTGATGGGAATCTTTAAAGTATATCTAGGAAATGAGGAAAATACGTGTGACTGATTGGAAACAGCGCAAATATAATATTTAATTCATTCTTTGTTCTTGTATATGTGATGTAAATTTTTTTAAAAGTCGATTCTTTAAGAATAGAAGTCTCCAAATTTGTTGGCTTCCATGCCACATTGAGACTTCCTATAAGTCCCGGGGACCAAATTGATACCTACATTGAAGACCTCTACACACAGAAAGTGATATGCCTCGACGATATGTTATGTGGCAATATGGCGACATAATTGTGTTACATTATATAATAATATCACAGTTACACATAGTGCAATAATTCACAACAATAACGACTAAGGAATTCTTAATGCCAGGAGATATTGTGTCAAACATGGCTTCTGTTAAAAAAAAAAGAAAAAAAAAGGTTGTTATTTTAATGACACTTCAGTTATGAAATAAGCTTTCTAAAAAAAAAAAAAAATCATGTAATAATCTCGTGTTTGAGAGATTTACTAGATTTCATTTTTTAAAAATAGTTTTCTAGAGCTGTTTAGCATTAACATGGATATTAATCCACAGAAGACAAAATGCATGAGAATAAGTTGATGTCCCCGTCGAGTTATGAGAATATTGATAACAACAGACTATGAGAAAGAACAGACCCTGGAACAGGTGCAGGATTTCAAATATCTAGGTGCATGCATCAGGTGTCGCAAAGGCTGGGAGCAGCTAGAAGAATGTTCCACTCAATCCGGAAAGGTTTCCTCAACAAACGAGAAGTGATGAATAAAACAAAGATATCCGTCTACAAGTCAATGTTCTTGCCCATCCTCTCTTACTCCTCCGAATCATGGACCTTACCTCAAAACACAAGGGATTGATCCAGATAACGGAGATGAGGTACCTAAGAAAGGTTGAGGGAAAGACCAGCAGAGATAGGATCCGCAACACGACAATAAGATCAAACCTCGATGTACAGCCGATACAGTACTACAGAACCACTCTTGAAGAGAATAAACTTAGATGGCTCGGGTCTCTTCTAAGGATGAACATGAAAAGAACGGCCAGGATAACGTATGAGACGAGAGTGGATGTTAGAAGACCAAGAGGAAAACCACGGATCACCTGGGAAGAAGGCATGTGGGAGGCGTTCAGGAAGCGAAGGCTGGACTGGAGCAGGAGGAGAGAGCTGGTATAGGAGAGGGACACATGGGTCAAGCTCTATAGAGGACATCCCCGCAATGCGCAACGATAGATAGGGAAAGGATTATGATGAAAAATAGTTTTCATAAATTTATAAAAATTTTAAATAAAACTTCGTGTGCTGGATTGGAGATGCTTACAGGCCTAATTTTGGAGACCACTGTTCTAGATATTCAGAAGGTAATTGGATATGTAGTATAAAACATTTTAAAAAACCTGTACCATTAAAACTCATGGAGTTTCTTGGATTCAGTAATAATTATTTTTTAAGCTGTTTCTTAGTAAATGGTTGTGCAAAGAGGTGATTTGACTGAGATCACGCTCAACCATCAGGCTTTCCTTCTTAATTAATTATTTAATTAAAGTTACACACTTTATAGAGGCTGAGTATGCCTCAGAAAGGTCTCCTGACCCAAGGGTCGCCCCAGCATTGAAAGATCAGTGCCCTACAACTGTGCTACACCACTCTCTTAGCATAAAATAAGTATATAATATTTTAATTTTAAAATTATTAGCTAACAGCTAGGATATTATGCAAGTATATGATCCTATTTTATTGAAATGATTCACTAGTCTAGTATCAAAAAATAAAATTGTGTTTTCAGGTAAACTTGAGTCCAGCCTTGGGGACCGATTGCGATATTGACCCTGCCGTTAAGAAGCCAATGCTGCATGACCTCTTCGACCTCTTAGGACTTCCTGTATGCAACACGGGTCTTTGTCTCTTTGAAAGCCTAAGCAGGATGCCAGCTGGTGAAGAAACTGATGACTTTTCAGACGATGACTTCCAACCAATAAATAATGCCAAAACTGCTGCTAATGTTGTTGCGATGGCATGCAAATGGAAAAACCATCTCTCCACCCAAAATGTATTCAAATTTCGGAAGTCATATCTTAATCTTTGTTTTTATAGTTTTATGTAGTATGAATTAATATGTATAAATCCATACTATAAAATTTCAAATAAAATGTATAAAGTAAAATAGGAATCTATACAAGCTATAAAATTGCTTTTCATATTACATTGGGTAATATAAAACCTTATATGGACACAGAATAATTAGATTTTTTTGTATTTGGTTCTGTTTGATTGCTGTGTTCCTATGTATTATTTATTTTATGCCAAATTATGATGAAAAGTAGACAATTTTTGATCTTCTGTCTCACAATTTTTATTTCAAATCAAATAAATTTGAGCATTTCGGCAATTAGCTATCGTCAATAATCTGTGAAAACGTAAACACATTAATTGAACCAACCTTTATATTATCCCCACAATGGGTCTTATAGTCTTTGTCCATTTCAATCACATGCTTGATTTTTTAAAACTTAAATTACTATTAATTTTTCCTGGTTTTTAGGTTTCATTTTTATTTGTCAAATTAGCTTGAAATGTTTTGTAGAACTCATTTATTTTCTTAACATTATTATTTCTTTAATAATTCATATAATCAGCATATTCTTTCAGTTGAGAAAAGGAAGATTTAAGACTAGGCCATTAAGGAGCCAGAATAATAAAAATACTTTGTCTCAGGAAGATAAACGAAGTAGGAGGCATCATCATGTTCCAATAAAAAACATATCTTCATATACTGCCAATTTTAAAGGTTTGTTTATAATCCTTAGAATATGATTATACGATTTATAAAAATTATCATAGTTAATTTTTTTAGAAGTATATTTTGCTTAAGGAATAGGCCAAGTGTTAGGAGTGAATAATATTGCCAATTGAATTATACCTTAATTCACAAGTGAATTTAATATGGTTTCAATGTACTATAGATATAAAATTTATTTTAATCTACAATATATTGATCATTATTTAATATGACTTTTTCCCATCTTTCCACTAACTGCATAATGCCATGTTCATAGAATGTCTGGATTTTATTGTTAAAAAACTGATCCAAGTGGTTTTTGATGCCCTCTTCCTTTTGGAATTTCTTTCCATTCATGGAATTCTGCAGAGACCGGAATAAGCGGTAGTCATTTGGAGGGTGAGGCAAAAGGTCCCATACAAGACTCAATAATTTATTGCGAATGACCAATGAGGTGTGGGGCCTAGCGTTGTCTTGGTGGAACACAACACCCTTCCAATCCTTCATAACTCTTCAGGATGTTCTCCAAATTCAATGTTACTATATCCGTTGGAAAGCTGAATTATTGCTCTTCAAAGGCGTATCTATGTTTTCTTTTTATTTAATGCTTTCATAAGGAATAAATAAACAAAAACTCCTTATAGGTTTTTATTTATTATCTCCATTTTTAGTTTGTTTACGAAGGCCCTGTTGATGTCATTTTGTGCAGTTTATGAGGCCCTGAATTTCTGCTAAATTTCTTTTTGATAGCTAAACTCTTATTGAAGTTATAGCATTCTCTGTGATTTTTGAAAAAAAAAAATCATGTAAGGGACCCAAACATTAAGCCTGGAAACATAGCCGAGCTTGTACAAACGGTTTTCTACACTTTTTTGCGACACATTTAGGAACATAGCAATCTCTCGCACTGATTGGATGGGATTTTGATCAACAATGGCCTTAACATTGCTCGTTTTAATTTCATGTGGGTTGTCCGTTGAGTCTATTGACCATCATTGATGTCAAAATTTCCTAATTGAAATTTTACAAACTAATTTTGAAAGGTGCAATCGGTTAAGGCATCATCCCCATAAACACTGCAAATTTTTCTATGAGCTAGCATGCTTACCTTTTTTAAAATAATACAACAAAATATGCCGATAATGAAAGATATTTTCTTCCATGTTCACAGTGCAGTAGCAAACACCTAAGCTAATTTCAACAAGAGTTAACTGATATAGTTGTTGACATATTACATACAGGATAAACAATCCACTTTAGGGATTAATTCATCAGATAAGAAATGTATCATAGAAACATAAAAATAAACAGAAAATCCAAAAAGACTTATTGCCAACCCAATACATGGAATAGCAATTTTTAAACATTATTTTTCTTGGATTTGCAACAAACTGTCTTCTTTCAAATTGTTTAGGGGCAACGGTCCCACTGCCCTACCTCCCATGGGTATGTCTGTTTCATATCAAATCTGATACAAAAAAAATATTGAGATCTTTATTGATAAATTTATTTGTGACATAATAAGGAGCATTAAAGATTTTATGAAGAATTTTGTATTGTAAGTATTGGATATGGTTAGAATTCAGTGGTTTTGTTCAGGCTCAATTTCTCATGTCACAATAAGCCTGATAGTGGTAATGTATATGAGTTTTTGTAGTATATTAGAAGTTCATGTTGGTCAAGTAAATGTTAGAGTAATCAGATTCCATGAGCATTTTCTTGTCATTTCAGTCTTATTAATTTAATCAATATATGATTAACATTTATATAAAAATACAACTTTTAATCTCACCGTTTTTCTTTTATAAATAAAAAACCTTTATAACAAGAATTTTTATTTTCTCTTTATTTTAACGTTTCCCTAAAAACTATTGTCCAAAACTTTCCCCAAAACAAAAAATAATAATAGCCATAAATCATGATAGACAGCAATTGTTAAATTAAAATTATAAACTATTTCGTTGTTTCTTATTCTTTCCACATCCACAAATACTTTTTCTTCATTCGTCTTCTACTATTTCTTCAAGGTATTTTTCTTCTTCATTTTGGCAAAACCATCTTTCTTGCAAATGTATAAATCAATCATAATGTCATTATTAACAAAATTATTTTTAAAAACATTATAATAATCACTATTTCATAAAAAAACATTTTTTGGGGGGAGGGAATTTATTTTATCACAAAACATGGCACACAGTAAAAAACAAAAAAAAAAAGAATTTTACCTTATTTTCTTTGCTTTAATTAAACAATTGCTGCCATAGAGTGATGAACTAAAAATATTTTTAAATGGATAAATTATGACTATTTTTTTTTTTAGTGGTTTGAAAAAGGCTGTAGGGCTGAAATGTTTAAATAAAGAGAAAATAAAAATTCTTGTTAAAAAGATTTTTATATATAAAGTAAAAGCCTTGATGATAAGAGAGGTATTTTTGTGTAAATGTTAATCATGTAATGATAAAATATAATAAAAAAGATAAAGTTATGTTTATTTTCATTGCAATGTCTATCAAACATTTAAAATTTAGTTAAATAAAAAATCTTTGTCTCTAACTAACCTTGCTTTATGTTGCTAGATAACAGCCGCATGAGGAACAAAAGTGATTCTGAAGATTCGAGCGGTTGTCAACTGGATGAAAACCAACCTGGCTACAAGTGGGGTAATGGAGTGGACTGGCGCTGTGGTGTGAAGGAGTCTGGTGATTGGGTTAGGGTATATCCACTGTTGGTCAAGGAACACAGCGGCTGGAAGAGATCTCCAAGTTTAGTTAAAGAGGGAAGGGTCAAAGACCGTGAAGTTAGGCATGTGGTGGGCAACTTGAGCCGACTATCCAAGATGGTGAAGGAAGTATTTACCGCCAACGAAGGATCACCAGATGAAAAGAAGGATTCTACTCTCATTAGAGACTACTTGGCTATTGATGCAGTCTGGCATCCTGCTCCTGGCTTTCATGAAGAGAATAGTTAAAAATGTTTTTAAGTGAAATTATAAATCTTCATGTACTTTCTAAAATTCTATTAAAAATTTTGATTAATCAATTTCATAGATGTCAGATTCAAAAAAATCCATGTTGGTTTGTTATGTATCAATTCAATTAGGTGTTACAGTAAAATGTATAATTCAACGACCAAATATTTATTCATTATAATGATTATTTAATGTATTAAAAATAAAGTTAATTATGATACAAAGCTCTCTTCTCTCTATTGCAGATATATACTATGTCATTACTAAAGTCGTGTGCATAAAATAAAAGATTTAAATTTTAGTTTGAAATCTTCTTAATTGGTGCTATACTCTTCGAAGGAGCAAGTTCGCCTTCAATATCAACCACTCTGCTGTGGCCCCCAGTTCCTAATACTCAGGACAGACCAAGATATTAAAATTAACTTTAGACATTAATTGACTTTAACTCATCTTCTCTGTGGTATCAGTCAATAATTGTTAAGATCGAAAATTTCTCAAATCCTAATTTAACATCCTTGTTTTCAAAGTATGTGCAATTTCCTGGCACAGTGGTACCCCATTGTTTCATCGTAGAATTTTTTTTTAAAATATCCATGTCTCATCACTCATTACAATTTTTTCTAAAACCTTAACATATTTTGGATTTTGAAGCAAACTTTTGGAAATATCAATTCATCATTGAGCTTGGGTAACTCGTGATTGTAAATCAATCTTTACTGACATTATTCAGTAATTCAGCATCATTCACTTCCGAATTAAGACCAATCTTAAATCTAATTCAACATCCTCCTTGTTTTAAAAGTATGTGTAATGGTATGGTTTATACAAAAAATATGAATTTTATATCTAGGCTCATCCCAGAATAGAATCGTCTGAATTAAAACACTACTATGTTAACTTACAATGTGCCACATTTTCACCTTCCATCCACAAATGTTCTTGGTTGCTGACTTCTCTGGGATCAAGGGCCCCAGAAAGATAAGAATATCATTTTTCTCTGACATTTTTGGTGAAATTTTGTAAAACAGTGATGTATGAGTACGTTCGTATCAAATTCAAATAAGAAATAAAATCATGCACACGTACTTTTCTAATGATTTAGTAAGATATATCTGAATTAAACTAAATAAAAACATAATTTTTTAAGCTTGAATTAGATCATATTCTCTAAAAATTATATGCTATTTAAACTCTAAATTACATTTATTTTTAACTATTTAATAATTATTAAAGCTACTAATAAAAATTAAATTACATGTATTTATAATGCATTAAAATATATTTATTAAATATTCTATAATAAATGTCCTTTATTTCTTTCGGCAAGAGGGATCAAATCTATTTATGCAAGAAGTGCCTGTGAATATTTGCGATGCTTCTGAAGTTTGTAAAGGTAACAAACTTCATATCCAAATCTATTATTAATAGCATTCTTCTGAATTCAAGCAATAATCGTCATCATCAAATGTACTGTTTTTTTCACTATACATGTCAAATAAAATATAATAATGCATTATTATGAAGTTTATTTTTCAAACCACCAATACAATAAATTTTGTAATTATTCAATGGACTCAAAATTATCATTTAACTTTAAGAAATTATACCTGACAGTTTCACTTAAGATGGAAAGTGATACAAAAATAAAATTTAAAAGGCCATATGATAAGTGCCTCACTCAAGCTGTCTCTTAAACAGTTGTAAATATGTAATTTTTAATTCTTTTTAAATAATTTTAATATGCCTTCTTTGATCACCAGTTACCTATTTATTGTAATGTAAAAATAAAATAAAACTTGTTTTTTAAAGATTTTTTTATTTCCCACACTATCTCAAATTTCGAGAAAGAATTGGTCGGGGGTGCGGTTAAATAAATACTAGATTATTTAAAAATAGTATTTTTAAATGACCAGTCTATCAACTTCCTCCTGCAGTGCCACATGCCACGTCCTGATGAAGACTTGCAAGGTGGGTCGAAACGTCGGCATAATTAAAAATACTATTTTTAAATAATCTAGTACTTATATGACCGCACCCCCCAACCAATTCCTTCTCATATTATATCACAGTCAACCATCTCTACATCATTATTTCAAATTTCATTTAATTTGCATCAAATATATAAAATAAATAATTAATAATAATAATAATAATAATAAAGAAATTTATTGCAAAGGGAAGAATCCTATTGAAGGTTTAAATCAGTGTTTATTAATAAGCTTTGTATCCTACACAATATAGTGCAGTGTATTAAAAATGAAGAATGCAATTACAAAACATGGTTTTTTTTTTTAAAGTTCTGTACATCAAGAAGTAAAAATTGGCTATTTAATATTTTTACATGTTAGTATTTGTAATAATCATATCATAATTTTCTGGATTTTTTCAGGAAAATAAAATTAAAAGTATTAAACGATGGTTTTAATGCATATTTATCTGTATTGAATCAAGAAAGTTCTTTCCACATTATTTCTTTCTTTTTAATTTTTTTTTCTAAATGCTCTCATATTTTTTCTAAAATAATATGGCATTGTTTAGCTACTGTATAAAATCATTAGCAGATCCAGGATTTAATTTTGGAGAGGGCTTCAGCCCGAAAAGTTTTTTTTTTTTTTTGTTTTATATATATATATATATATATATATATATATATACACATATATAAATATAATTACTTTGGAAAAAAATAAATAAACTAACTACCTGTATAAAATGGTGTTTAAGTGACTCTTGAAGTCCTGTTAAATGTAATTATATGAACAATAAGCCTCCCCCCCCAAAAATGGTAAAATATAACCATATTTTATGAAAAAAGTTATCTCTAAATGTATTATTGTTCGTCTAATTACAGTTAATAGGACTTAAAGACCATTTCATATAGGTAGTTAGTTTCTTTCTTTCTTCCGACGTAATTATCCTAGTATATTAATACAAAAAAAAAATCTTTCTGGCTGAAGCCCTACCAAAATTAAATCCTGGATCCGTTAGAGTCACAGGCGAAGGTTTGAATGCAAATTACGAAAACGTTTGTTATCCTAAGTAAAGTGAACCTTGTCTGCCAATCCAGAGTTCCTGCTTTCAAAGATGGCAGTACATTTAAAGATACAAGTCCAATAACTAGAGAATCGAAACGGGAAATATATTGTGATATATGCGGAAAAAAGTTTTTTGTTTTTTAACTTGAATATACGTGTTGAAACATGTATAAAACAAAATTCCTAACGAGGCCCATCTGAGGGAGGTGTGGCCGAGATGGCTAATGCGTGTGCACACCACCACGCGTTGCCCTGCAATCCGGATCATAGATAATTAGATAAAACAATTACAAGTTCTGTCCCGATGGCCGGGGGGAGGGGGCTTTTAACTCGGGCGTTAATCCCTCGCCCTTATCCCCTTACCGGGAAAAAACTGTATAGTCTAAAAGACGAGGAAGAGTGGGACGCAAAAAAAAAAAAAAAAAAAAAAAAAAATATCAGGCCACCAAGGGAACAATGTTGAACAGCCAAGCTTGAAAACGAAAAGATGTAAGGAAGTGAAGTTACGCATTTAAGGTTACATATGCTGGAGGGAATTGTAGAGACAATTATTTGGATATTCTGGTGTCAACTGAAACTTTTCATTGAAAACGAACCATCGGAAGTGTCACTTCATATTATCGATTGAACAATTTTTGTAAAAAACTATTGGAAAAGGTTTTGTGAGGCCTAAAAATAAATGTGTTAAATACCTATACATCCTGTCCGTAATTATTATTAGTCTTTTCCTTATTCTAATTTCTAAAAATACGACTTTTTTTTTATAAGGTTCCAACTTAAAAAAAAAACTTCCTTCTTTAGTTAGCTTTATATCCATATTAATTGGTTTATCCGAGATTCGTAGTCAATTTAAAAAAAAAAAATTATGTGATGTGAAAATCTTTCTTCTTAAAATACCAGCGTTTTATGCAAAAATAATTATAATTAATTATGTCAAACCTTTTATTTATTTTAGGAGCTTGATCTGTAATGCATTGTAAATATAAATATTTTCATTTATAAATAATTCTGTTCTTTTTGAAAATTGATTTTTAAAAATTATGTCCTAAAATGATTTTGCACCAGTGGTTTTTACACAAAAAATATTTGTCTACGGAAGTAAGGTTTTCTTCATTGAATTTCCATATAATTTTATATTGCATTAACTAACAACGGGACTATTTAAGGTAATTGCTCATTGTAACTATCTAAAATTCCTTAAAAAAATAAACGCTATTAATTTCTTAAATTATTTTCAAGAAAACGTAAACATCAGAAAATAATATGAGGAAATTTAGTATTTTCATAAATTAAGTATTTTGCATCGCTTCCTGTTGAAAAAGAAACTTGTTTAACTTAAGAAAACACACACACAAAAGAAACTGGTTCCAAATAACTATTTTGATGGTGTCTCAAATTTTATGTTCTACTTTTTTGAAAGTTTAAATTCTCCCGCCGATCAAAAACTGGCGCTAGATTTAAATGTTAATAAGTTTTGTCTTGTTTATCAAACCGTCAATTTTTACCCAACCTACTGGTTATTTAGAAATACTTATTATATAAACATTCTTATTTTTCTCTAAAAACATGTGACAATATTTGGAAATTATCCTGGGTAGACCAATAATAGATAAGTATTAATAAAAATTTATAAAAAAAGAGAAGTATGGTTTGGATGATCAATGAAATTGAAATGGTAAAAAATAAATTATTTTATTTATTTTTACATTCGGCGTTGTTTCGGCCCGAAGTTCAGGCCTTCATCAGAACTGGAAAAAGAATTTTCTTATTTTCCATATCTCATCTCTATTTTCTATATATGATACATTTCCTCATACATTTTTTTACATTATATTTTTTGATAGAATTTACAATATCTTAATGTTCTATTTATATCTATTATTTTCTTATATAACTTCATATTTCTTTTCTCTGTTTTAAACTTTATTCTAGATTACCATTTTCATTACTTATGTTACCTTATATTTTATTGTGCTTATTTCATTGGTCCGTAGTTTGTTACAGTTATTATTATTTATTTCTTAGTTCTCTGTTACTGTTATCATTCTACCTACTTTATTTTACGTTAATGTTCATTATATCTAGTTCATTTTACGTTAAGTTGTTCCACTACAAATTATTCGTCCATACCTATCAACTTTTTTAATCTTAATTCTGTATTATTCAATGTTATTCTACTTATTGTAATCTGATTCTTTTTCCAGCCATAATGAAGGCCTGAAATTCGAACCGAAACGTCGGCGAATGTAATAATAAATAAAATTATTTATTTTTTACCATTTCAATTTCACTGATCACCTCCACCATCCTTCTCTTCAATTATTCACTACAGTCAACCATAAACCCAGAATTAAAATTTTATAAAAGTATTAGAGATGACTTTAGCAGTGGACTAGTCAATTATAAGGATGCAACAGTAATTTGAGTCACACATTTTTAATGGGTTTGCCGACGTTTCGACTCAAACATGTTCATCAAGAAATTTCAGACTTTCTAATCTTCATTCTAATTATTTTTATAATAATTTAAATTCAAATTAAATTTGATAGCATACTTAAAAACTTGTTTGTAGTCAGTTGTGCTGATTTTACCATGAATGGACTTGTTGTTGGAATTTTTAAATACATAGAAAAGCCTTCTACTATTAATTAAGCTTTCAGGAAAAAAGACAAAAAAGTTATCATCTCTATAAGCCAATAAGGAATGATGATATAATTAAAGAAGGAAAATGAAAGCAATTCTTTAAAAAATTAAAGAAATCAATTAAAATGAAACAAATAAAACTAAAGTACATTTTTAAGCTGGAATGCTAACAGGAACTTGATACGCAGGTGGAACGGGTACGGTTGTTCCTAATATATTATTTTACCATTCCACAACATTATTTAAATAAATTAGCTGAATCACTAAATCTTACTGTTTTTAAGCCACACCAGAGAAATATCTTAGATTATATTAATCCCGGTCAGTACCTGTCTTTTCTCTTTTTTAAATTAATCAAATAACCGGTTTAATGTGTTTTCTCAACTTGGAACTGCTATTTGGTAATCTAGGTACTTGTTACTCTATTGTGCTATTTTAATAAAAATATTTTAATGTCCTTTGAATTCATTATATCTTTTTGAGTTTATAAAATAAAACTTATAATAAATTAAATTTAATTAATTAAGGCTTAAGGGATGAAAATGGATTGATGTTATAAAAATACAATGATGAAAAGGAACAAATATACAGTATCCTTTGACGAAGTAAATGGAAGCTTCTGATTCATATGGCAGTTAAACGAGCCTCGTGAAGTTCTTTCGCTCCCGTGTTTGACAATGGTAGGCATACTCTCTTAGATTTATTATTATTTGAATTCATCCTTTAAGTTATGGTACTTACGATATAACAAATTATTAAATTATGTTACTTAAGTCTTTTTTAATTAATTTACATTAGTAAATTATTCAATGTAACCTCTAGAACCGTTTATGTCCACGTTGTATGTTTATACATTTGTCAACAATATTACTCTCTTTTTTTGATTATATTTCTCAATTATTTATGTACCCTTTTAAAATTATAATATTTTGTTAATATCGGTTTGAATTATTACTCCGAAAGTGTTTTAAGTTGTAACCTTAACATAACCTATTCAAGTGTTTTATTTAATGCTGTTTTCTACTTTTATTTTGACTTCATATTTGCATACACAATAATGATAACTAATTTTTATTTTGCAGGCTCGTGGTCCCAAAAAGCATTTGAAGCGTTTAAATGCTCCAAAATCATGGATGTTGGACAAGCTTGGTGGTGTTTTTGCGCCAAGGCCCAGCTCAGGTCCACACAAACTTAGGGAATCATTGCCCTTAGTAATTTTTCTCCGTAATAGACTAAAGTATGCACTTACAAATACTGAAGTAACTAAAATTGTGATGCAGCGTCTCATAAAAATTGATGGCAAAGTGAGGACAGACCCTAACTACCCTGCAGGTTTCATGGGTAAGTGGTGTTTTATATATTAATATTATATATTATTTATTGAGGCTTGTTAGTTAAATATGATTGTTTTGTTTAAGATGTGATTAGCATTGAGAAAACTGGTGAATTTTTCCGATTGATCTATGATGTTAAGGGACGTTATGCTATTCACAGAATTACTGCTGATGAAGCCAAGGTTTGTAATTTATGGTAGTTATTATTATTGTTATGTTGTAGAGTTATTTGTGTTATTGTATTGGTAAAGTTTTTATTCAAATTTTAATTGTTTGGGTAAGTGAATAACGCAAGTATGCTATGAAGGTTAATTATTGTATTTTAAAGTATTTTACCTGCATTTTAATCTTAAGGTGCGTTTAAAACATTTCATTATGTAGGAGTAACACATTTAAATGGTTTCTTCCCTATGCCAGTGATTTCGTTTCTTGTTTTTGATGTTTTCCATCTACTATGTACGCTAACAAGAGAAATACAAAAATAAGTTGGGCTTAGCGCTAATGTCTCCATTTGTTAAGATAAGTAATTGTGTTTCCTGTGGTTTGTAAAAAGGTTAAATGCACCTTTAGATTTATAGGATATTTTATTTAATAAAACATTAAAAATATCAGTTTTAATTATTTATTTATTGTTATTTATATTGATTAGTTTAATTACTATTTTAGTACAAGCTGTGCAAGGTTAAAAGGGTGCAGACTGGGCCTAAGGGTATTCCTTACTTAGTTACCCACGACGCTAGAACCATCAGGTACCCAGATCCACTCGTGAAAGTTCATGATACCATTCAGCTTGATATTGCTACTGGCAAAATCATCGATATCATCCGAATGGAGTCAGGTTTGTTAAATTAAATTATGTTTATACATAATTTCTCATTATTTGTGGTTTAATATCTCCCTTAATACTTCATCGAAACCAAAGATTGAACTATCATTTTGAATATTACCTTCACTGCTAATATTGATTAATTAAGTACCTCCCTCTGAAAAACAGAACTACAAATTATTAAGTAAACTTTGCTTACACTTACATCTCAATAAATAATCTGTTTATAGTTGAATATATACACAATCATTAGCTACATTCAAATGACTGCTCGAAAAATGCTTCAATTTATCACTTTTATATTATTCCTAGCATCATATTTACCTTGAAAGACTGAAAGGTTATAAAGGATGATTATTATCTTTTTGTGAAAATGTTGAAATTATAATTTTGATATTTATTTTTTTCGGTAAGTTAAGGTTTTGACTTACAACCGGCGATTATTTTAATAAGTCAGTTCATGCTTTAATTTCTATATATGACATATTTTTATTATAAGAAATGAACTGAGGACATAAGCTAAATTAACCTAAACAAACAAAAATATTTTTGTATAGTTCGTCGGACATTAGTTTTCTATAACTGCTTAAGGATTCACTAAGGTTCTTTCAAGATTCCATTTACAGTATGATCAAAGTGATCTTCAAACCAGCTGCTATTTCAGAGTAGTAATTTAAAACTAGTCCCCATAACCTGTTGGTTGTTTCGTTAAAAAAAAAAAATTAAACAATTATTAGCTAAGATACTAGGAGTATTCATTTATTCACTTGTAAATGCTTGATGTGCTATCATGCTAAGCAGTCAGCACAAATTTTGAATGAATGTTAAATAACCTGTCCGTGCTAACATGTTATTAGTTATAGTAATGTTATGACTGCTATAAATAATGTTTGTGTGTTCTTAATTGATCTACTAACATTATGATTTATTTTTAAAATATCCAAGCGAAGTGAAAAGGTCGAGTTGTAGGATTATTTGTTTTAAAATGCTTTATTAGAAAGCACGAATGATGATTCAGACGGCAAAGAACTTGATGAATACATAGATGAAATTCTAGCTATCTTTATAACTCATTTCTGGGGATATTGTACACAAAGAATCAAACACATCAAAACCTAACAATAACCTTCTCTGTGTATTTTCAAAGTTAGCAACACTTTATAGGGTCCTAGGCTGCATTTCAATTGAGAGTGTAGTAGTGGCCTTATTTAACATTCCTTAAACATTTTTTCCAATTTACACACTTACGAGGTTTACAATACTTAGCTCTGGTTGCTTGTATACCCTTATTGTTGATTATTGTACTCATCTTTTATTTTTTTTTTCTGATGATATTCTTTAAGTAAACTTTTCTTAGTTGTTCTTTAATGTATATATTAAATTTTAGTTTTTTAATATATAATGGAAATTCTTGACCTTAGCTCTCATTTATGAAATTATCTCCCTTATTCTGAAATTACTGGTCAATTAATGTGGACTTACAACCTAGGTAACCAATAAATATAATTCCTACATATGTTTACTAGTTTTGACTGCTCTCCCCGACTTACCTCTTTTCAAATTTAGTTTTTATTTTTATTTTCACAACGTGATTATCTGTTGGTATTTATTTACATTTCTGTTATACACCAAAGAACCTTACTGAATCCCCATTAACTTTGTAAATTAATCTGTGTATAACCATAACTTTTGTGAATTAATAATTGTAAATTTGTAAATTAATATTATTTTATATACTTTACTCTCTTCAAGTGATGAATTATAACAATGGCACATGATCTTGATTTATTTAAAAATGATAATGTAAGACTTCCTTCCTCATCTGATGAAGAGTTGTAAAACTTATATTATATTATTGAAAAATTAAAAATGTCAAAGGGTTATGTTTACTCATAAATTAAACATGTTTTAAGGGTAATTCTTGTTAGTATTTTTTAATTTAAGAAGTGATTATTTTTTGTTCTTTTTAAAGAGATTATTAAAAAAATAATAAATTATAGTTACCAGCGACTGAGAATAACCTTGATTAATCCTTAAAAATTCATTATTTATGGGTAATACATTTTATTTTAGAATAATTCGTACCTAAAATATATTCATGTATCTATGTATATACCTGAATGTTTTCAAATGATGAGTTTATAAAACTAAAATATAATCTTATCTAAGTTGTTGAAATATAAAATGGTCCAGATAAAGACTCCAGCAACGTTTATTTTAGCACTCTTTCATTTATTTTATTTTGCTGACTAAATTGCTCTGATGAAATTAACTAACATTTTTATTTTCTTCAGGTAACCTTTGCATGATTACTGGAGGTCGTAACTTGGGAAGAGTTGGTACTGTTGTAAACAGGGAGAGACATCCTGGATCCTTCGATATCGTTCATATCAAGGATGCCAGTGGCCACACCTTTGCCACACGGTATGTGACTTCTGTTATTTATAATTATAGCTTTATATAATTTTTTGGGGGGTAAGATATGGATTTATGATAAGACATTTAAATAACGAACAGTCAAAAGTATATGTAGACTAGTCTTGTGATTCACCCAATGGTGGAGTTAAAACATTTTATTTACCTACTATCTTTTATTTGTAAGTGATTTTTGTAGTCATCATGAGGCTCTTATCGAAGCTATGATATTTTTATAGATATTACAGTCAAAATAGAGCCGATATCAACGTCCACTGATATGGTCACTGGATGATTCCGTAATGATTCAGTACTACCCACGGTGTGAGACATAAACTAAAATAAGTGTTGTGACGCTATTCAATTTTTTTTAATTTTATTGAGGAAAGCTGTTTGTTTATTGTTATAGTTGTACATTTTTTCCTTTTCGGGATCAATTGCACAATTTTTGTTGGATTAATTATTTTAGGGTCATATTTCAATTTTAATAGCATAAAATTGAATGGTTGAACCACTCAATTTTAATAGCATAAAACTGAATGATTGAACCAAATTTCCTTTATAATATATAAATAGGTGTTTATGTAGACTTGTGGCCAGGCACTATGTCTTAATTTTTTTTTTCCTTAATTTCTTTATGAAATACAAAAATTCAAATTCTCATTCTGGGATGAAAGGGTAATTTAGGCTCTGAATATTCGATACAGGTTATGATTATCTAAGTATGCAAATATTGTAGAAATGATAGTAAAATTGGGTGTAATCTATTTATTTCATTATACTTTTATCTTACATTAAGTAAATCTACTCAAAGCTCCTTTATTATCATAGTTAAATTATTCTCGGTGCCAAAATATATTGTATATTAAAAAGAACTTCATCTTCTTGGGACAAAGCCCCTGAAGAATAAATATAATATGACACTACACAGTGGCCTAAACAGTGCGAACGGACTCATTAATATAAATAAAAATTAAGTGACGATAAAGCGTACAGGAAAATAAAATTTGAACGGTAACAAAACTAGGTTGAAAAATAATAACAATGAGTATGTCGAAAATAGCACTAGAATGAATTCTGGGAATCATTTGTAATATAGGAGAAAGTTATTTAGTATAAAATAAAATGTATGCATTATATTGTTAGAATAATATATATTTATTCACCAGGTAAAATTTATTTCTAGTATCATAATTATCTTTCCAAACAAGTAGTATTATCATTTATCGGATAGTTCTTTGACGAAATGGCATCAGATTACATAAGATGCTGTGGTTCTTGATAAATGCTACCTTTTAAAGAATCAATAAGATATTTTTTGTTAATAATCATTTTGAATGATTAGGCTCATGTTTCTCTTCTTTATTTTTTTTATTGATTTATTTCTTTTAGCGGCTCTTTATTTATTACTCCCTATACGGCAGAGAAGTCTTGTCTTTTCTCATGCTAATATATCATAATTTTAATTCTAATACAAGATTGTTAGATATGCTTTAGGTACATGTATTAATATTATAAATAAAACATAAACTAATTTTTATTAATTGTTTGTATATTTAAGGTTTTTTTTTCCTCATAATAATACTCAGTTTTTAGTTTGTATGGCACGATTTTGCACATTTAGAATTTTTTTACTGCACTTTTTTGGTTTTTTTTCTTAAGCAAAAATTTAATCTATTTATAAATTTTATTTGTAAATGATTGCTATTTTTTTAGTTATGAGGCTTTTATCGAAGCTGTGATATTTTTATATTATAAATGTTGCAGTCAAAGTAGAGCCGATATTAATGTCCACTGATATGGTCACTGGATGATTTTGTAATGATTCAGTACTACCCACGGTGTGAGACAGATTTTTGGCATTTAACTGTTTCTAGTTTAATAAGTGTGCCATCACAATATAAAAATGAGACATGCATAATTTAACCCTCTGATATAGCAACGACCAATTAAAATGATTTGTAAACAACAGGTTTGATTGCCTTATTGATGTTTGAGTTGATAAGTTTTAATTACTATTTCATTCATAATTTATTAATATTATTGTCCTCATATCATGAGGCTTTTATCGAAGCTGTGATATTTTTATAATATAGATATTACGGTCAAAATGGAGCCGATATAAACGTCCACTGATATGGTCACTGGATGATTTCGTAATGATTCAGTACTACCCACGGTGTGAGACAGATTTTTGACTTTTAACTGTATCTAATTTTACAAGTGTGTCATCACAATATAACTCAAGAGATAATTGATTAATATTGCCATCATGAGGCTTTTATCGAAGCTGTGATATTTTTATAATATAGATATTGCAGTCAAAGTAGAGCCAATATCAATATCCATCGATATGGTCACTGGATGATTTTGTAATGATTCAGTACTACCCACGGTGTGAGACAGATTTTTGTCTTAACTTTGTTTAACTCCTCCGTCTGTTTTTTTTTTTACAGTATTGTAGATTTTATAAAATTTGGTCAATGCTTTATTTAATGTCAAAATTAGGATTACACTTTTTAAATGGTAAAAAATGTTTAATTTTTTGCTAATAATTTGTAATAATAATGCGTCCAGTAGGTATGGTGTGGATCGGGGTGGGGGCATGACCTGAGTTCTGTGGTGTGACATTTACTGCTGATTAACAAGATAATATCAAATATCTCTTAGTCCTATATTTATAATTGATAATAAAATAAATTTTAAACTAATTATTTCAATTCAGAGATGTCAGGGTGAGAGAAAAAACTCTATTTTAAGTTGAAAGGTTATAAGAAACCCAATGTCATGAGCCATTTGCTGGTATGGCATGATGGTGCCGATTTTGTACTCTTATGATGTAACTCCGTTGCCACCACTTTAATACTATTTTTGCAAATATGCTTCAGAAAAATTCTGGAATTTTTTAATTTGTATTGTTATAACCTGAGTTTCATCCACAAATTAAAATTAAAAATTCAATGTAAGTACCTGTATTGATGTATTCATTTATGTAAGTATTGCTCCAAAAATAGTTCTTTTACAATACAGATTATAAAATATGATCCTCTAATAGGAACTAACCATTAAAAAGATATGTAGACCATGTTTAATTCTTATGGTGGAGTTATATCGTTAATTTATTATATTTCATTTGTAAATAATCGTATGAGGCTCTTATCGAAGCTGTGATATTTTTATAATATAGATATTACGGTCAAAATGGAGCCGATATAAATGTCCACTGATATGGTCACTGGATGATTTCGTAATGATTCAGTACTACCCACGGTGTGAGACATTTGTCAAAATAAATATAATTATTGTGACAATATGGAATATTCAGTTTTTTAAAATTACATTTATTGAGAAAGGCTGTTTATTTATCAGACAATAAGAGGAAAGATTAGTTCATAGATAAAAATTTAAATGAATGTTATGTTCACATGAGGCCCTTATCGAAGCTGTGATGTTTTTTAATATAATATTACAGTCAAAATGGGGCCGATATTAACGTCCACTGATATGGTCACTGGATGATTTTGTAATGATTCAGTACTACCCACGGTGTGAGACAATTTACATTTTACGTTAAACAATGCTCTTTTTTAGCTTATTTTGTTGGAGTCTGTTACACATTTTTATGTTGGTTTTTCATACTTAATTCTTGTCTAAAATTTAATAGTATTCTTTAATAGTTTATTTTAATATTATACTAGCTTTACCCGTCCACGCACTGCTTTGTCTGGCAAAATGGAAAAGAAAGAAAATAGAAAGCACATATGAGTGGATGAATACCAAAGGACATCTTGCATTTTTAAAAAGTTGAGAAACAAGTTTATTCCTGTAACATGGCTTCAATTTAAACTAATTCTAATGATTTTTTTTATGATTCAACTTGAACATTTGTAATCATCAGAGTGAATACGTTGTCATTCCTAATCAGAAATAGTCTGAGTTGAACTTAAAATGACTTTATTTAAAACTAAAATTGACTTTATCTCCACTTTCTGAAAATGACATAGATCCGTCTTTGATATGAATCTACTCATATATTTTTATGTTTAATTTTATTATTAATTTTTTTTAATATTTAATGTAAAAGGCCTTTTCTGGAGAGAAAGTAGGAAATGAAAACTCTATAACTCTACAACGAATCGTCCGATTACAAAGATTTTTTTTTGTTGGTAATTCAGGACGCTTTTATAAGAATATGAGTGTCATAAAAAATTATACTGTTTTAGTTATCGCCAAATAAAATTTTGAATTCATCGTAACATTTTTTCAGCTCGTTTTCGGGAAAGTATGTTATACATATTAATTAAAAGGGTTTCAAGGGACCGCCGGATGGTGTTTTTTTTTTTTAATGCTGCGGCCATGAAAGCCTATTCGTACACCTTATTTAAAGTCACTCCTGTAATGAAGGACGAAGGATGGTAATAAAATGATCAAAAACACTTCTAAATTCGATTGCAACGCTGTGTCAAAATTTCAAAGCAATCAGTTAAGAACTCTCGCTTTGAACAAAACAAAACAACATTTAATTTTTTTTTTTACACATAAAATTATCGTAAGACAAGTACTATGTCAGAAATCTTCGCGGGAGTGTACGCAAAAAAAGTTTCATGGCAATCGGATGAATGGTTTAGTAATGCATAAAGGACAAACAGACAGACAGACAGATATACATTCATCTATAAATATATATATAGATAGATAGATAGAAGATACTTCTACCACTTTCCAATCAAACACGAACGCTTTGTGGATTAGTTATCTTTGTTTACTAGCTGAGGGAATTTGTCCTCCCTGATGACGTTGAGTCCAGTTTCCCTCATTTTTAGCCCTTGTCTCAAAAGGAGTGCCGATTTTACGACGTGCTTAGCAGTTTAGAAATACCACATGAACATAAGGGGTTAATTTACTTCCCAATGGTTGGTGTGAAACCTCCCTCTCCCCATGCCCTGTGAGGAATTGGACACCAATTAATCAATGGTGTAATTAATATTCATCATTAATTTAAAATGAGGTAACTTAATGTATATTTATTATAAGGCCTCGATCCAAGCTCTTGCAACAGATTGTGCTTGCAGCAAAGTTTAGGGCCAATATTGAATTATTTCATTTTCTAGGATTATTTGTTGTCATGATATATTTACATCACAACACAAGTGAATGATACAGACTTTTTATCATTATTGATATCTACAAATGAAAGATCGTATGTTTTAAAATTGTGTATGTTAAATGAAAATTCTTCTATAAAATACATGATTTAAAATTAATTTTATATTTATTGTGTATTTTTATTTTTTGCAGGTTGAACAATGTGTTCATCATTGGTAAGGGTAGCAAAGCTTACGTTTCATTACCTAAAGGCAAGGGTGTGAAATTGAGTATCGCTGAGGAGAGGGATAAGAGGCTTGCGGCGAAGGGTGCATCCAGCTAATTTAGCCTGATGTTGTAATATGTTTTTAAAAAATATAAAAGTTTGAAAATGTATTATTTATTTTTATTTTGTTATCATATGTTTTGTACCTTAACCTGTACCGTACAGTACCCTACTGTAGCGATAGGATATCGAAGGCCCAATATCAATAGACGACATTATCGATCTTATAAACATTTTTAAAAATATGAATATTAATATAAATATTGATTCTCCAGCACATAGGATAAAAAAATATGTTATTTTCCTTTTTTAATTAATTACTAGTAATATCAATTCTACGTCCTTAAAAAAATTAAATTTATAGTTCATGTCCATCTCTGTTATCCTCAACTTTTTTTTCCAGAAATTTCCATTCGATCAATTATGCCTTCCATTTGCCCATATATTGAATTCAGCCAAATGCTAATTTATTTTTTCATCCTACAGAAGTTTTTCACTATGAACAAATTTTGGAAAATTGAGTTTACTGACATGAGCAAGAAGAATCCCATGCACGCTATTCAACTCTATTCGGGATGGTCATTGGTAATCTATATTATCGAAATATCGATATTTTACTACTATGCACTACCATTGTACATGAAACAGGCAAGATGAGTATGTTTTGTTTTTCTAGGGATCAGATTCATATGTAATTCCTATTGCTTTTCAAAAACGATGGTTTTAATCTTTATTATTAAAATGAAATATTGAAGGGACTATATCGATAGTCAATAATATTGATTATCGGCTAATGATAGCTATCCATACGCTACAGCAAGTCAACTGGTTAAGTTTTTGAGGTGCTGGAACACGGACTTGATAAATGGGGAAACAACGAAGTATACATGCACTTCAGTAACACATGTTGGGAATAAGATGTATGTTTTAACCTTTTAGTTGTGCGGAGCCTTAATCAAAGTCAGGTGCCGTGCGCGTGTGGTTCTGGAGGTCTAGCCTACCCTCTGGGCATGGATTTATTCACTGAATTGCTGCTGTCACTTCGCACTTTTCCACATTAAAATATGTTTTTTTTTTTCCTACGCCAACTGATATGTACATTTTTGTTTAATATGATAGCTCATATTTCAATAAATAGTTAAAAATCTTTTTTTTAAAATTTATTAATTGTCTTACATTACTGTTAAATTATACTGTGGTAGACTATCTAAGGTAAGTTTGAGGGGAAGAGAGATGCGCAATGGCAAAACAATTTCCTGCCCATCCCTGACTCTTGTCCTCTCTACTCATTTATACCTACTTCTAAATTCTTGTTTAATGGTAGAAATTGTTTTTTTCCTATTTCCTGCATTAATTCACTGAAATATTTGCTGTTTACATACTGCGATTCATTTGGTTCGAGCTAATACAGTACAGTCTAAACTCTGTTTAAATTCCAAAGTAAATGAAAAAGGCTCCTCATTATTGACTACCTGATAACGTAGTATCGGGTTCTTTTCTGTTCTATAGTTTCCATCTATTTCTTGATTTTTTTTTATAAGCTATTTCGAGGTAAGTTAAGATCTAAAGATCCTAGTTATAACATTGAATTCTTTGAACAGTATACCTTGCGAATTCATATACATTTTTTTCTCGATTTGATTATTTAACCATACTTTTCATTGTTTTATTTTCAAATTACTACCTTTAATTAACATTTGTGCGAAATTTGAAGAAAATGGAATAACACAACCCAGTATAAGGTGGTTGCTATGGTGAAGAGGGGAGGTGGAACTTGAGTGGGGAAAAGCTGTACTATTCCTGGGACTAAATAACTAATACATAAAGGACTAATATATCTCATGCTATCTAATGGTTCCAGCAACAACCTATGACTCGGTTCCCAGTTGAGCGCTCTGTAAGGCACCAGGATATTGGCTTTGCATAACAGAATAAAGGGACCAGGGACATATTGGCATTGCGCACAATATGAGATAGCAAATGCCTTGACTTAACTGGATGTTAAATCCAGCTAGTGCTGCTATGAGGCAACTGTTCAGAATGCAGTTGCAGTAAAACTTTCCTTTAGATTTTTTATCAATTCTGGACCTAATCTGGAGAAAGGGGTAGATAAGTGGGTACAGCACTGACTTCAAAGTTCTGAATTCAGTTGATAGGTATTTATTATGTTACATCAGCTGTGGTTTGACCCTCCTAGAGCAAATCCAGTCTTTGAAGTGGGTACTTCTAGTTAATTAATTAAGGAGAAAAATCTGGTGTTTGATTGTGATCTAGGTCTAATAACCATTGGCTTTGAAACAGTACTTCTTTACAAAGAACTGAACCTAAGACCGTTTATGGGTGGTAGGTTTTCTCTGAGTCTAATCTAATACAATGTTTTCACCTGTCTATGTTTACTTGTACCATTTTTTGTTTGTTCCTCACTTGGGATCTTATATGAATTCTTTGATATTCTATCCACTGCATTTGCTAAGGCATCTTATTCTCTCCTCACCCACCTATGGGCCTATCTCTCAAAAAGACTGAATTTTCTTTAAAAAAATTGGTAGTTAAAGGTTTATCGGGGTCCAAAATACAAATCTCAACTTTTTTTCTCTTTGTAAAAATAATTGAACCCACTTTACTCCTACTGCCGCTTCAAATTTTTTCATTTCGGAGATAATTATAATCTATTTCGATAACATTTTATTTTTTTATTTTGTGGGGAATTCAGGAAAATTTAAAATAAATATGGGTATCATTAATCACAAATTGTATACTTGTTTAGTTATTGGCAAATAAAATTTTGAATTTATCGTAACATGTTTTGCAGTTTGTTTTCGGGAAAGCATTTTACACATAAATTATAAGAGTTTCAAGGGGATGACTTTAGCTAAGTTTCGTTAAAATCATTACAGCTATTTTGGCGCGACAGTGTAGCGATATTTTCTTTCCGAATATGAAAATACATTTTATTGAAAGAATATTTATTAAAAAAAAAATATATATCTTATATGATAAGGAAGATGATATATCATATCACCTTTTGAACATGATTATGTTAATATTTGTATGTACATAATAATGATAGAGATATAGTTGACTATACTATAGATCAGTAAACTTTATCATTCTTAAGTCTAGCCACACTGGTTCAAATCCAGCCTGGGCGTATTGAAATTTATTTTGTGACAGACTCATGGAATGAATATTGACCTTACCACTCTGTTTATAATATGTTTGGATGTATCTAGTATATAACCTCCATATATAACAGAAATGGCGAAGCAGAGGTTAAATAACAAATTTTAAATAAATAAAAACAACTAGTAGATTTTTATTTTCTTTATACCAACATTTAAGCCTAAGTTTTAGGCCTATTATTAAAGTCTCTTATCAAGTTTAAAATCTAAAAACATACATTATCATTATAAAAAAAGTGATGATTATACTTTTCCATTTTTTAGAATTCATTTATTTAGAAATATAATAATCTGACAATAATTATAGTGAGATATGAACACATTCACACCATATATACCGAAACATAAGTAAATTAAAAACATAAAACTCAGTCATACCTATATACAATCAGTTGGAGAACCTCAAGACAGGCTTGTCCCTCCAACTATAGAGGAAAAAGCAGGACTCCAAGAGATCTCTGCGGTCCTCTCTCAACCACGTCACTGATGCTAAAGCCAGTGGAGATTGAGCAAGAGTGCTTTTCTAGATATTAATATCGAATTAAAAAATGAAGTGCATCTGAAAATTTCAGCAAATAAGCATTCTGTAAATTATTTCATGCTTTTTGGCGAAATTCCAGTCTATTGGTTAGGCTTTCTCTTCTACTGATTTTATGGATCTTAAATGAGTAATTTATTTTCAAAGTGAACCATAATCATTTGACCGTGGTACAGACCCCTTTTTATCAGATTATTAACATCTGCCTGAAACTTCATAAATAGTTTCATATCATTGTAACCTACAAATATTTTATTTATGAAAATTCTCAGAATCTGTAGATCGGCAAACTTTGTCTATTTAATTAGGTTGTAAAAATTTATGAATACCTATTTGTTTTCCACTTGAATCATAAGATAATATGATCGCAAAGGCGAAGAAAAAGGTGGCCTTCAAAAATATTGAGCTGTTTGCCGTGACCTACACCTACAAAATGTCAAAATAACGAGGTTTTATAGGCCAAATGCCCCAATATTTTTGTAGGCCATCTTTTTCTTGAGTTTCTGATAAAATTATCTTCTAAGAAAAGCAGTGTGAAGAAAATCTAAGTGAAAAGAAAATGGATATATACGAGTTTTTGGTACCTAATTAAGTAAAAAAAGTTTGCCGATCTTCAGATTGAAAACGTCCCAGTTCCAAGAGTATTCGTAAATAAAATGGTTGTAGATTACAATGAGATAGAGCTATTTATGAAGTTTCAGGCGGATGTTAATAATTTGATAAAAATGGGTCTGTACCACGGACTACATTGTTACAATATTATATGAAACACAATATGACATGATGTTTACAATTGTAATATCAAAACCTATATTTAAAAAAAAATAAATTAAGAAATAATTTATTTGTATAACATACTTCCGAAAATCACTCCTATTATTGATTCAATTATTATTGATTATTTCAGTAGTAATTAAAAAACATTGAAAATTGAATAGGGTCACTTTTGGAAATAAATATACGTCAAGGCCTATTTTTGAATAAAATAAAAGTTGATTGGGGTTTGTTTTGTAGAAAAATATGGTTTATGATTCGAGAAGAAAAATTTATAAAAATTATAATAAAAAAATTAACTTTTTGAATACAATATGGTACATTAAAAAAATTTAATTTTCATTTGAATAAATCGATTAAAAAAATTTTAAAGTTATTTTCAACTTATTTTTACACTACTTTTTTAAATATTTAGGTTTGTTATTGAATAAAAATAATCGCATCATCAGATTCATTGGGTGTTTTTACATGAAAATCAATTCTGATCTCAATTTCAAAAGTCGTTTAGCGTTCAATTCAGAAATAAATGATTCAAATGGTTTATTCTTGAACTTGAAGAACATTTTGGTGCACATGAAATAACATTTAATTTACCCATTTTTTTTTGTTTTCTCTTCCTCACCTTTTATGCTATACAGAATATTTTCCTGGGGCAGGGGAATTATGCAGAGTTAAAAGTACCACCAGCAAAGGGATTTGAACTTGTAATCTTTTGGTTTATCATTATGCCAAGCCAACACGTTAGCTTGCACGCCTCCTGCTCCCTAACTTACCAATTAGTACTTGTGTTTTGAAAAACAAAATAATGATATACATGACAGAGTAACGATCCGAAGTTATTTTGGCATAGAAAGCATTTCACTCCCTAACTTAAATTCCACCAGCAAGGTTCTTCCTTAATTATGTTATTATTGGAAAAATCCAAAATACGAAGCCATGAGTTTCCAAGTGAATGTTGGTGAATAGTTAACTTGCCAATTCAGGCATCAGGGCAGAAAAACCAAGATTACTTATGTGCAGAAAGAAAAAAACTAAAAAGACAAAAAAATAAACAGAGTTTATAATTCTTAACAATGAAAATCTTTAGGTGTGAATATCTCCTAAACGAAGTGTTTGCAGACATACCTTCATAGGATTTTTTTTTCTAGTTTTGAGGTCCTTAATTCATATTTTCAGTTTGGCCACTTAAATCTGAAACACCCTGTATAGTGTAGACATCTCACGAAGCCAACCAAAAACATACTGAACGAAAGAGAAATTCTATTAACAAAATTCTCGTTTTATGCTTATTTTAGTTCTCCCTTAAGTTATTTGTCTATACTACCTCAAGGCACTAACAGATTCAGGATTTAATTTACTTCATCCCATAAGATTTTTATATGTATATATATGACGAATGTTACTTTGAAAGAAGAAGAAAGTAACCGACTACCTTATTGGTGTTTAAGTGATCATTGAAGTCCTATTAAATGTAATTACACGAACAATAATACTTTTAAAGATAATTTTTCATATTTTTTACATTAGAAATGGTCATATTTTATCATTTTGGGGGGAGGGGACTTCAGCCCGAAAGCCCTCCCTTCCTTAGAAACCCTAGTGTCTAAAGGTAACATGCAGAAATGTTAATGAAAAAATTAAATGAACTCACTATCATACTTTAAAAATAATTTTATTTAGTGAGCAAATTATATTATGATATTTACATTAGTTTTTGTTTAAGTTATAAAAATATGAACAATTTTTAGTAATAAATATTTATATTTACAATTTTTTAAGTTTTAAACAATAGTTAAAATTGATAAAGATGTAACAAATATAATTTCTATATAGAATCACTTATAAAAAATATTTACAAATTTATTGACTAGTATTCAGACTTGATAATTCCAATTATTGACTAGTTAAAAGAAAACTTGAATCACAACTTCAAACATTGCTTATCTGATATCGAGTGCATTCATTTATGTTGTGTCTAGCTTTCATATGCCTGTCCAGATCTCTTCTTCTCACTAACATTTTCCCACAAAGTTCACACCTGAGGAATGATTTAAAATTACATAACATACTATCGATAATTTATTAGCAACTCTTCATTATATTATAATTATATATGAAAAAAAAAAAACAGTACAACTTTAGGTTACTTGGCTACTGTTATTATGAAAACATAGATATATAGTTCAAATATAGTATAAATATAGTTCAAAATATTTACAACAGATAGCAGCACTAGTCATAAAACCACTTTCTCTCCATTTTGTTTGGTTTAAATCCAAGTAAACCCAAGTTGTACTCCCCATAATAAAAAACGAACAAACTATATTATTTAATGATTCTAAATTATTCTATTTACCTGTAAGGAGTATCTCCTTCCGCATGTAACCTGACGTGCTTATTGAGGTTGCTAGGATCTCCAAAGGGTCTCAAGCAGTATTTGCATTTCAGTGGTTTGAATCCAGTGTGTGTTCTGCACAATCGAACAAAATAAAATTTTAATTGAAGCAAACTTAAATGAATAGATAGTTAAGAAATCAAGTATACATCCTTTATAAAGGGTGATCCAATTTGACTTTCATAACATGAATAAAAAAAACAACACACACAATGTAATATATGGGGAGCCATGTAACGTAACTTTAATAAATTCGTAACTTCTTATTTAATAAATCAGTACCTGGCACAGACGGATCTACGGGGGGGGGGGGGCTTTCGGGCTGAAGCCTCCCCAAAATGGTAAAATATAACTATGTTTTACAGAAAAAAATATTTAAAACTATCTCTTAAAGTATTCTTGTTCGTGTAATTACATTTAATAGGACTTCAAGAACCACTTAAACACCATTTCATATATGTAGTTAATTTCTTTCTTTTTTTTCTAATTAATTACTGTTATATGTACATGAAAAAAAAAATCTTTCAGACTGAAGCCCCCCCCAAAAAAAATTAAATCCTGGATTCGCTAGAGGTACCTGGTTAGTAAATGACACCATGTCATGTTTTTTTAGTTGTTCGTGGAGCCAATTTTCCGTAACTTTAAACTATTAAAATTTGTTTCTTAGTAACTAAATTATTTTATAAAAAAATAGACAAGATGGCCTTTACCTCCGCAGATATTATTTTAGTTATATTTTTATTATTAGAATATTTAGTATAATTCATTAACTATGAAAAATGATGTCAGCCAAATGGCCGCCTCTGGAAATTCTATAACAGTTGATTCAATCCATGTAATTTTTGATGAATTTTTTTTCAAGTTTTGGGGTTATCTTGGCTATAATCTGGCGGTTTGTTTTTGGGTGCTTCAACTTTGTAAGATAGTTCAATATTAGTTGATAGAGACACGATTCCAAAGTAAACTCAACAAAAAAAAATACGAAATCATATGATTTTGGCTACCAGTTGAAATAATGCGACCTTAGAACTTTTCACACATCTAACGTTGCCCGTGATGTGGTTAGCATTTTGAGAAAAAAAATATTCGTTTATCATGAGCCTATAGCGCTCACCGTTAACTGTCTCTGTTTGATCTTCAACGCTCTCACATAATACGCACCACACATAAACTTTTTAGGCATGTAATGATGTCTTGAGAATTTTCCTCACCTTAAATGCGGCAATTTTGTTTATCAACATACCCAGATATGTGGAAGTGAGCTTTCACCATCAATTTACTGCTGCTGTAAAACCCGATCAGCGTAAATTCTTCGCTGTACATTGTCTCTTATATGCCAAAGAAAGGCTTGTATGAAAAAGAACTTATTGAACGATGGCGTGTCTATCCATACGCATCCATGTGTCCATAGATTATGAGTTTTGGGAGAAAACAGATATTTCTTGTGAAATAAGCAAACGGTCAACATACTCTAACACCTCAACCGTCAGTCTTGCCTCAAAAAGCTATGATTAAAATTAGTAATAAATTTTATCTTCTTTAACTGAGGATATAGTATTAATTTCGATAAAATGCATAGTTTCAGAATCGTGTCCAAGAAACTAAAACATTCTGGAATTCTGCTGTTTTGTGGTTTTACTTTTTTAAGCGGACCCTACACGGTCATTCGGAATTGCACTAATGACGTTCCGAATTATCGTGTAAAGTAGTGAATGAAGTACTGATGGTGGTGCGCTGCGGATTTTCGAACATCCGGAAATCAAAGGTTCATTCACGAGAAGTGGAGGGGGGACTGAGGTAAAAGCAGTGAGGAGACTAACCATACTACTGGATAGGTTAGGTTACCTCACAACCATTATAAATTTCTGATTTTCATTATACGTAAATAGTTAAATAATTTTTCATATCCCTTGTTTATAATTTTAAACCATCTTCAACTATTTCTTTTAAATAGTCAAGTGGGCAACAAATTAAAAAAAAATGAGGAAACTTCACAATTTACTATAAGAAAAAAAAAAAAACTTTAACGTTGTGTATATTTATCAGTTCTTTTCCCATTTTCCTCAACAAATTTATTATTTTCGCAATACCATTCCTTAATTTTTGTAAGTAGTTGACTTATATTTTACTAACTTTTCTCAAAACGATTTTCTATGAGACTAATCTTACTACTAGATAGGTTAGTTTACCTAGGTCTCGTTATTAAGTAAATAATTTCATAAAAGTAAATTGTTGTTTATATCCCTAGTCTATATTATTATTAACCATTTTCAACTAATTTTTCTTTAAATAGTCAAGTAGGCAATAAATTGAAGAGAAAAAAAAGTGGAAACTTCACAATTTACTTATAGAAAAAAAAATTTAACTGTTGTGTTTATTTGCCATTAATTTTTCCATTTTTTCTTAACAAATTGATTATTTTCGCAATACCTTTCCTAGATTTTTGTATGTAGTTGACTTATATTTTTCTAACTTTGGTCTAAACGATTTTCAGGCACTAGGAAGTAATTATTTTATCTCCGTTTTTCTCTTGATGCCCAATATTATAAATGACAATGTCCAAATAAGCATATCTATGCTGTTTCTTTGTTTACAACTGAGCTAAATTGGTATCAGCAACGTGCAAGGGTCTTCATGATCAAGGCAATCGCGGGCAATCTTGGCACTTCTTGTGACGTTCATTCATGAATTACCGTGTAGGGTCTGCTATATCTCGGAACGCAATGTAAAATTTCGTTAGGGAACATCAAATTCAGATTCAGTATGACAAAAAAACATAAATAGAAGAGAAATCGACTACTTGGATTTTTTCCCCATCCATCATTCGACTGGACTAATTTGATGGATTTGACGTCGTCAATCTTTAGTGCTCTCTAATGGCTAATCGAAAAAAGGTAGCGAGTTGGTTCTACATTTATTTTTCAAGAAATTTTATGAGCTTTCTTTTTTATATCATCATTATCATCACCATGCATGGCTCTACAACTCTTGCAGAGTCAATGTCTTCCGCAATTTCAGCCGCCATTCCTCTCCAAGTAATGCTGCTGCCTTCCAGTTGTGGACACCAAGGATACTTCGGGCATCGGCTTCCATCAGCCCCTCTGAGTCTCGGTCTGCCTACCCGCTTTGTGGCGAAGATCCGCTCGTCCATCAACTTCCTTAGCACATGTGTCCCGCCCATCTCAACCTGCCAATTTTCATTAGCCTCACAACATCGGCTTCTTTCTATAGCTGCATCAGCTCATTGTTGGATCGCATTCGTCGCTCCTGATTAATATTTATTATTGGGCCGAATATTCTTCTTAGCACAAGATGTTCAAACCGAAGGAGAGCTGTTTCTTGGGCTCTTGACATTGTCCAGCACTCCGACCCATATGTTAGTACTGGTCTGATCAGGGTTTTGTACAGGAGCAGCTTGGTTTTACGAGAGATCACTCTACTTTTGAGATGTCCCTGGAGACCAAAATAAGCTCTATTTGCGGCCATGATGCGCCTCTGTATTTCAGGATTCATATCATTATTTACATATTAGCTTTCTTTCTTATATCGGTGATTTTAATATAAGATGTGTAATTTCGTAGTTGTAAGCGAAAAGCTGAATCAACTTTCGAAATTTTATTGTTTTTTTTTGTGGCCATTTTTACGGTGAAGCCATCTAGTAGATAACTCGATTTTCAGATTCAGCACTCCAAAAAAAAACACATAGAAAAATTCTTCAGCAGTTTTTTTCCTGTTAAAACTACCAAATGACTGGACTGAAAATATTTACGGAACTTTCATCCTAAATACTGAATGTAACGATTTCCTTTTTCATTTAAATTACAATTACGATCAATCATCTCTATACCATTATTATATTTATATTTGCTCTTCTTCATGATCATGAAAAGATTAATTTCTGTATATTTTTTTTAATTTGAATTAATTAATGTTACCTGATATGTATCTTGAGACCGTACTTCCTGGAGTAGAGCTTGCCGCAGTAGAGACAGAGATGGCCCTGCTTGGATTGGCCCAGACTGCTGACGAAGGCCTCTATCTCTGCCGCCCTCCTGCTGAGCACCGACTCCCCATGATCGGCCTTGAGGTAGGGCCTGAAGGCGGAGTGCGGCGGTTCCGAGGATGGCCTGTCCTCCAGAGTCCCGTCCGACCTGGGCTGAGGACTAGGGTTCGAGTAGCAGCTGTGCGCCGGCGAGGGCGGGCTCTTCTTGAGGGACAGCGCAGAGAGGTCGAACGGCGGCTCTGCATTGTTGTTGGTCGTGTCGGAGGACTTGCTCATCCTCTCCCACAACTCGGTCGTTCTCAAACGTCCGCAGTCGAGGGCCAAGTGGACCTTCAGAGGGTTCGGGTACTCGAAGCACTCTCTGCAGTGATGGCACACGTAGTTCTTCTCTCCTGTTGGCGTTACTGAATGTTAGAATACTTAACTAATAAGTTATTGAAAAAAAAATGGATTACATTGGGCCAAAACGTGAAGCTGGTTTTGTTGTTTCCGTCCACCTTTTAACTTGACAGAAAATCCATCTTATCATTCCTCCAAAATAAAGACATTTACATAGTATCGAAATTCATCGCAGAAGGTTTAAGGTAACCCGTGAGATATGGATGTCTGATATTTTGGTTTATTATCTAGTTATATAATTAAGAATATTTTTTCCCAGTGATTGATTCCACTCAATTATATCATTACATCATGACGTTTCGGGTCCACTTATATCCCATCTTCAGACTAGAAATTACAATATATCGCTATTAACAATTATATATGAACAATAAAGCATTTATCAATACAACTAAAACAACAATAATTAAATTTTTATTTTATTTTGCCAATCTTACCGGTATCCCGCATTATCTTAATTCTCCATTAAATTAAATTAATTTATTAAATTAATTTAAATTAAAAATTAAATTGTTTTATTTTTGTCCTATTGCTAAAAATGTAGTAATTTTAAATTTATTATTTATTTAATTATTACTATTATTATATGTATTTTACTATTTTCAATGTTGAATATATTACCTGGAATATATTATTTTAGTATCCTCTAGGGAGAGTCTAGTCAGATACTGAAAATTAAACTTTAAGCAAAGGGTCAAACTCTAATTCTTATATTTATTTTTATATACCTAATTTGTTTATAAGATAAGCATAGTGACTCCTCATTTTGGCCGCATCGGTTTTAAAGTTAATAGCTGTTTTAGTATGTTTAATGATGAATATTGACTATATTATTTTTCTCTGTATGCTGTGTGTTTTCTTATATAAAATTTGTGGTTTTACTAAGTTGAAATTACATCTATTAGTAATACTATGATGGGCTAAGGCTGTTTTGTTATCAGTTTTACTATTTTTTTTTTTTATCATTAAGATGCTGATTCATCCTTTTTTCCATATGTTGTCTTGTTTATAGTGGATCCCGAAACGTTATGATCTAATTGAGTGGAATAAATGGGAGAATACATCACTGGAAAAAATATTCTTACTTATACACCTAGAAAATAAGTATCTCCCTTAGGATAAATGAATTGGTTTATTATTATTTTTAATAATAAACCATTGCTATAATCCAAAAAAATTCAAAAACTTAACCCTCTCCTTAAATTTTAGATTTTACGATTCAGGCCACGTATAGGATGTATAAAAAAAGTGACCGTTTTATCAAATTGAAGATTTCAAAGGACTGTAAATATTTTAATCCTATTAATTACTTACCAATACTTAATAACCCCTTTACAGTATTCTCTTAGCTTGTTTAATACCATTCGACTTCTTCAAAAAAGGCTCACTTTAGTTATTCTTTCGCGGAACGATCCCAAAAAGAACAAGAAGTTTCCTCCAGGAATTAGGTGTTGATGTTGGGGAGCTTGCGATATTGGCCGAGAATATTATTTTGGACTCCCTGGGGATCATCCACTATCACTTATATAGTAACTGACTGCGAATTTATGATGTATTTTTGTCATTTATCTATTTATTTATTCAATTTTAATTTTGTTTAGCTTTATTTTGTCTTTTTGTCTATATTTATGGGATTGCGTTGATACACGTGTAAACGATTTGGTCTTGTATTTCTAGGATTTGAATCTTTTTTCAGGTTGAGGAGCATTTGAAAATGAGTTGAGGAAATGCATCAGCTTCTACCCAGCCATATTAACTTCCTTCTATACAAAGTGTTATTTTGTGCATTCAAAATGCTGGATTGAATTAAACTGGCTTTATTACTGAATGATTTTACACTCCCACTTATAAATAGCAACAAACGAAGAAATCAGCTATCTAACAATGTCTTGCCAGTATCAATTAAATACAAGTATTATGTATTTAATTGATTTTTATTTTATTTAACGATTACAATTGTTAAGTGGATTTTTGGATAAAACATGAAGTAATGTAACAACAGAAAAACGCATGAGCCAAGTTAACTTACAAAAATTAAAATAAAAGTGATGTCAAACCTAAGAAAAAAATTATTATTTCTTATATTTTCTTTAATACGTATTAATGATTTTGATTAATTTTAATAATATTCTAAAATTAAGAAAATAATTAATTCTTATTAAAATTATTATTATTGTTGTTGTACTAATATTTTGATACATTCTATATAATAATTTTTTCTTCCATGTTTTTGGGTTACCTCTAAATGATTAAATAAGAACTCTTTTGATATATTCTCCTCAGAAATCGTAAAATTAGTTGGTGGCTGGAACGTCCTTGAATTCTATTTTTTTTTTACAATTTTTATAGAATTAAATATGGGTCTGCATTGACGATAAGAACCAAGAACAAGGAAAGAAAATTTTGTTAGAGACTATTGATTATATCTTATTACTATAAAACATAACCAAAAGTATTAATATGAAAAAACATATATATACCTAATATATTGCTTGGAGTGAGGAAGGGAATTCCTATGGCTGCTTGCAGGCTGGTTGAGAACCACAGGCTTACACTTTCGCCCTTCTTCACCGCCCTCGTCATCTGCAAGAAGACGGTGTCTTCCCGGAGACCTCTTTCCAAGACGACGCTGCAACTGTGGAAGTCTTCGGACAGCTGAAGGCTTTGGAGGAGAAGGCGGTCGTCTGAAGATACAAGAAGTCCATTGTCCCCTATCCGAAGCGATATCTGTATAAAGATAGGACAATTTTAGTTAACATTGAATTATCTTCTGATGTATAACTCTGAATACCACCTTGATATATAATTTTTTTGATTTGTTGTTTTATAAATTTACTATTATTAATAACCAGTGACGCGGCTGGGAGAGAAGCACTGGGATCCTGCCTTGGCTTCCACATTTGGGGGACAAAGCGTGACTCAGAATCCTCTGGGCAAATGTAAATATTGTATACAGGTGTGAATGTGTTTTATATATTTCAATTTCATTGAGCTTCTCTCTATTATTATTTTTTTACTTTTTTTAAATTTATTTATTTTTTTATTGTTTTTTTTTACCTATGTATGTTAATTTTCTTAGTTTACTTTCCACAACTCTTCTTCTTTTATCTCTATTTTAGTTATCATTTGTATGTATATATTGTGTGAATATTTAATGTAGCCCTAATATTAATCCCTCAAATTCGGCAGAATGTATTAATTTTCAAATAAAAAAAAAAAAAAAAAACTATTATCAAATTTTGGATGCCTATATTTTAGAATTAGTTTATTATTAGATTAGAATTAGTTTTAGCATTTTACTTTAATCATTTATATTAATATAGTATTATATTTCACTGTATTATATTTAATTAGATATATACTAGTTTTTGGTCTATTATTTTCAATAATGAACCATTATAAAAAATTAAAAAAGTTAATCCTCCTTCCCATCAAAATTTGTGGTTTTACGTTTCACGATACATAGAATCCAAAACTCGAATTAAAAAACATTTTGTCTGTCCGCCGTCCGCGACATTTCTCCGAGATTACTGGATCAATTTTACTTAGATTTGGAATAAAAGTTAGAGGTCACCCGACGATGATCCAAATACTTCTACATTACTATCCGCCCTTTCCTTTCAAGATGGCGGCCGAGTAACCTGTGTTGGTATAGACTGTAGCGTATAAACTAATGTATCGACTTTTATGAAAATTGGTCAATGTCTTTTCCTCAAAGCCCTTTAAATTCAGCCATCAAGGATCAAATTTGATTCGGTGTCTGTCTGTAATCCAATCGATGTGACGGGCATATAACCAAATATCCAGTTTTCATGAAATGTTTGAAGATTGTGCGGGTTGGGGCATAGATATGGCCCCATATCAATTCCATTAAATTCCATCCAGCACTTTCGCTTACGCACGCTCAAAACGTGCCAATACGGATTAGATATGCCAATACTTCAAAAAAGGCTCGTTCGATTAGGCTCGAAGTTGAAAGAAAGCTGGGTTTTTAAAAAATAATGATGCTGTATTGATTTTATTGAATACCCTTTTCTACTTTCTATTATATATGCGAAATCGTATTTTCCTTGAAAGATCTTTATCTCAAAAACCGCACGTTCGATTTGCCCCAAATTTGAAGAGAATTTAGGGATGGATAATAAAGTATGTGCCATAAAATGACTGAACTATTTCTAAGTTTATTGATATTATATATATATATATATATATATATATATATATAATATAAATATTCATCATTTATGCATATATATATATATATATATATATATATAAATTTTAACTACTGAAAAACAGGGATACAATTATCTCTTTAAAAGAAGAAAGTCCACTTAAATAAACAGCAGTGTGATAATGAAAGTTGACCAAAGTGGTATATAATCGTCAAATAGAATAAAAAAAAACTAATGCTAATAACATGCAGAAGGTAAAATAAAAATTAATTGTAAATACACTTTTAACAAATATTTGTAAATATAGAAAAAACGTAACAATTATTATTTAAACGTAGTCTGAACGTTAGATAGATATATCTAGATAAATAAGAATTATTTAGAATTAATTGAATACATGAAAGAGAAAAGTTTCATTACTTTATACTTAAAATAACACAAAATCTTCCACAAGAAAAATATAAACATTAAATAATATAAGAAGTAAAAATATATATTATTGACATTTTGGAAAGTTCTTGGTAAACATTGCTTGAATAATAAATTAATCGTCCATTAATTTATACAGAAGAATGCATGCGTAGATAGTATAGTTATATAGTGATCAAAAATCAAATCAAAGGCAATTTAGTTTACATTAGAACATATGTATGTTCAAAACGTCGTATCTCTGTAACAAATAGCCCGATTACGGTGAAACCTTTTTTCTCTTTAACGAGTTTAACTCTTGATGAATTATATAATTATAAAGATCACCAACATGTGTGTTGGTTAACGTTAGACAGATGTATCTAGATAAATATGAATTATTTAGAATAAATTGAATACCGTCATAAACCAATGACTTCCTGTCCTTCAGTATCCTTTAACAACATCTCACTTTTTCCTGTTGAACAAATCCGTTACCTAGGACTCCGTCTGGACAAACGTCTAACTTGGAATCCTCATACTAAACTGAAACGATAAGAAACCGCTCGACGTTTCCGACTACTTCAACACTTACTAGACAAATGTTCTAACCTTACAATTAATTACAAAAGACTCATTTACATGACTATAACAAGGCCTACTTGGACTTACGGAGTTGATCTATGGGGCTCCACCAAACCTCCAAATTCTTTTCGTTTCCAATCCTTACAATCCAAAATCCTTCGTAAAATCCTCAATGCTCCCTACTTTGTTACAAATAAAATCAACCACAATGACCTTAATGTTCCTTGTGTATCAGATTTGGCCCAATCCAGATACCTATCCTTCCATAATATACTTCATAACCATCCCAACCCTCCTGTTTCTAACCTTGCTTCCTATTCAATTCCTAATAACCCTCCGAGGCGTCTGAAAAGAAGATGGCCCCGTGATCTCCTAATATAGACATATTATTAGAGTGCTACCAATGGGTAGTTTCTCAACATGTGTTTCATGTCATTATATCCATGTACGAATTTACTAGATATATTTTTTTTTATACAGTTGTAAATATCATATAAATAATAATAATAATACAAAATTGAATACACGGAAGAGAACATTTTCCATACCTTATGGCTATATATTTTTAGTAATTTTTTATCTAGCTGGTTTTAGAACTGAACGACTAGATATGGATATACAGCTCCGATTTATGAATCCACTAACCTTGTCAGTAGGGGGACCGGAAGATGAGGAGATCCGCGGAAGTGGAAGGTGGGCGGAAGTGGCTCCCGGAGGGATGTTCTCTGCAGCAACCACGGCCATCTCTGTGACTGCCGCCCCCGCCATTTGCGGCTCATTATATATTAGTTTGTGGTGGGGGGCGACACAATATTGTGGGGGTGCACCCCAACATGCCTGTCAGCGGCAAGTGGTTCGCTATGGTGGATCTTCATCGGGGGTGGTTGGAGCCCGCAGGTGGATGGGCTATTCCCTTTATTAAATGCGGCCCATTGTAGTCGTGACGCCATGGATTTCTTGTGTTTGATTTGATGGCTGTTTGAATTATTAGATTTTTTGTCGGTCTTAACATAATAATTAGAATTTAAGTAATAAAATTTAAACCCCCTATACATTTCTGCGATAATTGACCCATTAGATATCTTCTCTCTAATATATTTTAAGAATAGTTGATATTAAGGAAATATTTTAATTACAATAAACAATATGTTATTATATAGAAAAGCTTTTGAATTGAAACAATGTTGAAGCTCCGTACTTTATAATGATATGTTCAAGTTACAGTTTACGTTATGGATGGAAAAACCATAATACAAAGCCATGACTCTCCAATAATCAGGACAGATATGCACACATATGCAGAAAAAATATATATAGCGGCAATAAACAATAAATATATTAAAAAAAATATATAAAAGAATACCAAGCGGTCTAACTCGTGTGTGCACAGCACCACGCGTTGCCCGGCAACCTGATAACTGAAGTTATAAATGATAAAATAATTGCGAGTTCGCATCCCGGTGCCAAGGAGGTCTTTTAACTTGGCTTTAATCCGCCGCTCTCATCCCCTGACCCGGGAAAACCCCCGTATAGCCCGTAGTCTACGCCATGTTATCTACAGATTTTTGGTTTGTCGTAGGCAGTAATAAATACCAATATTTTAATAACCAGATAAGTAATAGGTGATAAGTATGTAATGACAACCGGGACAACTAAGAGGTGAGAATCACTATTTATCTGGAAGACTGTACATTTTAGGACTTTGAAACGCAGGGCTTGTTTTGTTTCTATGGAAAAAACAAGAGTTTTTCTACGAGTTTGTTGTCTTTAACTTTTATTTCAGTGATGGTGGTATATCTATTTGATTTTATCCATGTAGTTTTGAGTTTGGTGTATTTTTAAATTACGTGACTATTCGTTAGTTTCGGAATGGACTTAATCCGTAACAACTATTAATATTAACTATTATTTAATTTAATCATTTAAATCATTCATTGACCTTTCTCATGACCTTTATCAAAGTCCTAGATAGCCAGGTCAAGCTATCTCTGATAGCTTAGAAATAGTTATCTAGAATGTACTGACTGGACAGAAGACACTTATCAAGACTTAGGAACAATAACCTTTTCAGCAAAAGAGCACTTTCTCACAGACTTCATATCAATTCTAAAAGATAAGGATATCAATTCTTAATAGTTATAACTTCATTCACACGCTTCCTAGACCGACCAGAATTGATTCATCCCCCCTACTATTTCTGAGCATATAACCCCTATCCTGCTAAGACCAAATCGCTTATTCAGTTACATTCCTGAGTCAGACTCTTCGCTGTAGGAGACCTGGAATGAACTGATGTAGTCAACTCATATATCCATATTATATTACTTATATTATATTTTAGATGCCATTTGTAACATTATGAGTGAATTCATTATTTATAAAGTCTCCACTGTCTCCGATTCGTTAACTGTTGAACATTGCAGTTTTCGCAAGTTTGCGGTTCAAGACGCTCTTAGTAAGTATACATGAGAATAATTCGTAAGTATCCAATTCTTCACTGGGAGTGGATAATTATTCCAGAGGTTGATAATTTTTAAAAAGTAAAAAAAAAAAAATAATCTGTTAATGAAAAATAAACAATTGGCCTTATATTAGAGTTATAACGGGGGCGGGGTGGCCGAATG